TGGAGTTGAACTTAAGCCTTCCCACTTGCTAGTCAAGCCCTTTACCCTTGTGTCACACCCTCAGCCTCTACGCCACTTTTGCCAAACTCTCAGCACATTATGGACACAGAAGGATGAGGACAGTATCCAGTGTCTCTCACCTGGACTTGACCTTTCCTCCACATCGCTAACTTATCATCGTCCTCTGTTACTCACCTACAGGCTTAAAGGGAGTGAAAGTCATCTACTTCTTGCTAGACCCCTCAAACACCTACTGAATCAAAGTGAGTTTTTAGGTTTCTATGTCTCTGAACACCTAGATGACCTTTTACATTGGACTTTTTTGACTATGTAGAAATGTACATGTATTAGCATAATACCAGCATTAAAATGTGCTACAGGATTTTTTTAAATTCTATTTTTATTATCTTTAAGTAGTTGTACAAGGGGTTACCATTAAAAAAATCAGTTTATGTACAATGTGTCTTGATCTTTTTTCAGTACAGAAAGTAAATACTTTTACCTTAGAGAAAAGTGGTTTGTACCTTTCTAATGAAAGACCCCCTCCTCAAACCACCAGGCCTCTAGCCCCTTTGCCAGGGAACCGAGTTTCATGTCTAACCAAGCAATTTCTGGCTTCTGTAACATGCTTTGCTAAAAATTACCTTACCCCTTACTCTCCTAGTAATTAAGCAGTAACCTCACAAGCTAATCGATAAGCTCACATCCTGCTGGCCGACTCTACAGCTGGCCTCCCCTGACCGAAACTATTCACAGGTGCTAGCTCGGGTAAAGGTCATTTCCTCATACCAAGGGCCTGAGATGGCACATACACCGGGGGACCCCCTTGAACAGTAATTGGCTAAAACATATGATTTGTTTTAAAAGGATTGGCTGCCTGCGTGCAGACCAGGTTGTAACACTTTAAAATTACTGGCTGAAAAAGCGCGGGCACTCCTGTAACGGACAGAGGGGTCCCATAAAAAGACCACCCCCGGGACTGCTCGGGGTTCCCAGACACTGACCCGAACCTTGCGGATCTCGAGGTCACGTGCACCTGGGAGCCTGGGCATGCCCAAATAAAATCCTCTTGCCTTTGCATCTGGTGTCGTCTGACTGGTGCTTGGGGCAGGGAGGCTCTGATTTGGGGAGACCCGAAGTCGGGGGTCTTTCACTAATTATAAACCTTTTCCATTAAGAATGCCCTCATAGCAAAGTCAATCAGAGAGATTAGTCAAAGTTAATCAGAGAGATTAGTCAAAGCCCTGGGCCTCTGTGGGACCAGTCCCTTGTTTAAGTGCTGAACATTTACAAGGCCACCTTCTTTGGAGATTAGCAACACAAAGCCCATTTTATGGCACCATTGCCAATCATTTTGTAAAGAGATCATCAAGCTCTTTATTTCATTGGAAAACTTATTCAGACCTCTGAAGGTGAACTCTGGCCTGCCTTTGTGAATGGCTTAAACACAGGGGCTGTGTAGAACAGATGCGGAACTGATTTAGCAACTGACTGCTTGATTTTCAGAAGTGAAGGCTGAAGCCTTTGGTACTCTGAGAAGGTAGGTCTATGTTTAGTATGGAATGTGGCAGTCCACAGGAGGCTACACGGAAGTGCCCAGTGAACTGGAGAAGGAATTACACCACAGGCAGGGCTCACGCTTTTGGGAACAATGCTCAGCTTCAAGTTCCCTGTTTATGGTACCTGGTGTAAGTTTATCCAGAATCATAAAAAAGAAAGAAAAATAAGAAAGCAATCGAGTATAAGTGCCCCCCCCTTTTTTAAAGCATGTATAAAATACCTATTTGTGCTTCTGGACAGTTTTCCTGCATTTCTAGAACTTCAACAGGCTCAGGAGCTGGTGTTTCAGGAACTTGCAGAAATTCCATTCTCCAAAACTGCATTTACATAAGCATGAAAATAAAAACCAATTAAAATGCAGATTAAAGAAACAATGTTACACATGACTGGATGAAGATGAGCTCTGGGTAAAACAGCTCATTTCTATGCATATTTCCCTGTATGTGATAATCTAGGCTGTTTCAGGGTAGAAAGAAAGGACTCTGGTTTAACTGCACAAGTTACTATCTGCTTTCTATAAAACCTTTCTTGGGTAGCTTTTCTACAACATGTCCTAGACAGTGATAAAGCCATGACACATGCTTGAGAAAGCAGACTGAGTGTGTGTGTGTGTGTGTGTGTGTGTGTGTGTGTGTGTAAAGCACAGTATGGGATTAAGCAGTCTGAGGGGGAGAGTATGTGCTTGCATGGGGTATGGGCATGGGAGTGAGCTAGCAGTGTCACTGTTGGTAAGCATGGGACTGTGACTAAGGAGTTGCTCTCTGATAAAGAGCACAATTAAAGAAAAGAGACATAAAGGTAAAAAAGTGAGGAGGAAAAAAAATATTTGAACAAAAGTAAATAGTCTGTTGAATCTCTTTTCTGCAGAGGCCCAACAGAAGATAAAGTACATTCAGGGCTGGGAAGGTGGCTCAGTGGTGGAGTGCTTGCCTTGCATGCATGAGGCCCTGGGTTCGATTCCTCAGCACCACATAAGCAGAAAAAGCAGGAAGTGGTGATGTGGCTTAAGTGGTAGAGTGCTAGCCTTGAGCTGAAGAGCTGAGGGACAGTGCCCAGGCCCAGAGTTCAGGCCCCACTACTGACTAAAAAAAAAACAACAACAAAAAAACTACATTCAGACATCAAGGTGAAATCATGTAAGACCCGGTCAGGAACGGACCGATGCCTCTGGACAGATTTTCTGACTCTCTGATTCTCTGAGGGAAGAGGGTCTCCTTGCTTTTACTACGTTTTCATGTGAATCCGCGTGACAGTGTAAAACCCAATGCTTATGCAGTTCACACAGTACCAAAATGGTATGAATCATATTTAAATGACCAGGTGTGGCAAACTGTCAAGTACTTAGGGCCACCAACAGAACTATTTAAGAGGAAGAGGCTGAGTTTCTGGTGCTGTCCATGTCTGATAATATGGTGGCTAAAGCTTGTGTGAACTGGAGCATACTTTGCTAAAAAATAATCTACCCTCTTCAGATGTCCTTAAACTACAGACAGTGTTGTTAAGTTTCAAGCCAATATTCTAATAAGTCTTTCTCCAAGTTCACTTACCCGAACCACTCCATCCGAGTGTCCTGTCACTATGACGTTCTGTGTGTCCCATTCATTCATTTCTGACACACAACAGCAGACAATATGCTGGCTCCCACCTGTGAATGTGTTGACACTCACAATAGGATTCCCATTAATGCTCCAAACATGGATATATGTGCCAGCGCAGGACACAATGTCCCCCTGAGAAGAGAAGGGAAAGCTCTTCATTTCCTTTACGTTGTAGGCCTGTATCAGAAGCAGACCAAAGCCTTGGTCTACCTCTTCACATAACCTCTCAGTCTCTGGACTTAAAAAAATCTATTCACACTTTTCATTTAGGGATAGGATTACATAAAGAGTCCAATCTCAAAGACCACAAACCAGAAGAGAAAATTTTCAATTCAAATGCATTCTTTCTCTTCAATAAATAAAAAGATGCAATCTGTGTAACTCAGTAACATCTACCCTATTATCTTGCTATAACCATGGATGAGGTGGGGAGGGGAAAAGAAAGAAAGCTAATATCTGAGTCACTTCTAGTAAATCCTAAGACTCTCTAAGCTGACAGGACCTTTTGAAGTCACCTTTGGTGGGCAAAAGTCAGAAACAACTTGTTGAAATCAGTTAATGTCTGGAGTCTGTTCTCTGCAGCCCCAAAGCTTACAAGCCATGCTGTGTTGCATCTCTCATCCTGAAAGCAGCTGACTCTGGATTTAGAAATGCCATTCTGGGTGACAGGTTACAGGAGAACAAATGGAGATGTGAAGATGGTCCTCAAATGCAGGGAGTACTAGACACTGAACGGCAGCACCACTATGAGGAAGAGGGAAAAGGGGAGGGAGGAGCGCAGTGACAGGAAGACGCTACGGCACCGTCTGTCCTGGTCTGGCTGCGGTTCCTGGTTCTCCACTTTTCTACCAACATGGCAGAACTAAATCAACACCCTAACAAATAACACTTACTAAGTGTTTTTGTTTGCACCTCAGAATTGATCACTGAATCATCTCAGGTTGACAGTACTGGCTTTAACTAGAGGTCTGTACTCCTGCAGACACTCCTGCAGAAGACCAAGGCAGTCACTGTGCTCAACACCAAGAAAGGAAGTCCTCCTTTAGTTACTTCAGGGGGCCGCAGTTACAGTACATTACAGCAAATCCCTGGGTTATATGGGATTTTCATAAGACATGCAGGGTAGGTCAAAGGGAGCTCTGGCCTAACCAAGGGTAAAGGGAAGTAAAGCTGGCCAGATACTGGGTGACACTGAGAAACTTTTCATGAGTTACCAAGACATTACAAAATAAAAACAAAATAAAACCTAGTACTTCTGAATATGTGCAGGTACTGCTGCAATTTGGTGGGTATAAAAGGCATAAGCAACTTGCTGACGATCAGTTGTTAAGTATTAGATTAAATAAAATTCTCATGACTTAAGAGCAACCCCCAAAGTACTATAAGAAGAATGAAGCATCTAACTTAGTCACACTGCTGGGCCATAGAAGTTTTGCTGTATTGACACAATGGAAACCACCCCATCTGGTGGGTATAGTCTGTATGGATAAGTCCTAGGCCAGGAAGCTTTCCTTATTCTCTTTTATTTTATGGGCCCAGCAGGTTCCTGCAATGTAACTCTGCTACCTTATTCTCATTCATTTGATCAAAAAACATATTTTTGAAAAAGCTACTATCCTGACAACTTTGGATTCTGTTTTTAAAACAGTTCAATAGTTTTTCTCATTTCTGCTCATTTATTTCATAAAATGAGTGCCTTAGTTTCGGCAGAAAAAAATTTCTTTTCTAAATGTCAATCAGCAGGCGGCTTAACTACTTACTGTTAGTTCATTGATACAAAGAGCAGAAACTGGAGCTCGATGGCCTCGGAGCTGCGTTAGAAATGACAGCTTGTTCAAGTCCCAGATGATGCAGGTTCGGTCTTGAGACCCACTGACGATGATGTGGTAGGCAAGTGAAGCTGTGGCGCAGTTGACAGTATCAGTGTGGCCAAGTAAGGCCTACAAACAAGAACAGCAGCAAATCGGGTTACCACAAGGACAGGTCCTCTAAGTGACTCTGGTGGCTCCTGGGTGTGTGTGGAGATGGCAGGCTTGCTGAGGGAAGTAGGGGCCTTGAATGCGGTCTGGGGGGAAGTCGTGATGCTCCCTGAGGCTCTTCCCTTCCTGGATGTGGATGGAATGAAGGGCAGCAGCTACAATCCAGCCTGGATTTCTTTATACTGTTTCTGTATGGAGATATATTGATTATACGTCCCCAAATAGAGAACTTATATCTCTATTTGTTCTTTTATGTCAAAAACTCATGTTCAGTTTTTTTTTTTGAGGATCTAACGTTTAAAAAGATACGTGCCGTGTAATAATTATATTAATCAAAATTAGAAATAAAAAATACATAGATGATGAGAACCACATGGCTGAAGTAGAAGCTGCAGGGGCAGTCTAGTCCTGCCACTGCAGGGGAGGTGTGGACAGCACTGCCTGATGGGAACGCCTTCAAACCGGACCAATGATTTTTCTCCTTGGCTTCAGCAGGAAGAATAATAGGACTCATGGAAAAAGACAATGTGTGAAACAAGTATTTGCAGAAAAACTCCCAGATTACTGGTATGAGTTTCCAAATACTTGGAACAGGCCATCTCCCTAGAGGATATATTGGCTTAATGAACTGGCTTAACAGCAGGTCATAACAAGTCTACTTGCCTAGCATATCAGCTCAAAAGACCACTTTTTAAATCGAAAGTATTTTAGATAGGACAGTATGGATTGGTAAAATCCACTGACAACCTTGTACTTGTTCATAGGGAGGCTTCCTATTTCTTTATATGGCTAGTGTCAGGACCCAGCTAAGTATATGAAGTTGTTGGCTGGTTAAAGTACAAAGGATATTTAATATACTATTGTTAGCTTTAAAATAGCTTTGGAGTCAGAAATGAATTTGAATCAAGGTGTTAACAAAAATTTGAGTTTGAGTGGTCTGTTGTTCTAACATGTGTGTGTGTGTGTGTGTGTGTGTGTGTGTTTCAGGTATAAAATGGCCTACAAACCATCTTGAAGGATCATGAACACTGGAGTTCTATATTTTTAAAACACCTAGCACAGTGCATTGATCATAGCCAGTGCTTAATAAATGATTGTATTACGACACTACTTATAACAAAAACATTTCAAAAACACATTATAATAAATTCACAAATCAAATATCATAGAATGGCTCAATTATAAAAGGATTCTTGCTTTAAGTAAAAATAGAATCAGATACAAAATGGGTGGCCAAAACTATTAACTGAATCTGCAAAGTTCTACTGAATGTATTTGTGAGTACGGCATGTCCTCAGGAGGTGAGAAACGATGAACTAAGACCAGGTGGGCTATCTAATGGCGGTCAGCCTGGAAGGAAATTAATAGGACCCAACAGCAAATATAACTTGGTTTGCAAAAAATTCTCTCTCTATATAATGTTTAAGGAACACTAATCATGTCACTTGAATATATGAAAATACATTACCTAAAGACAACTTCCTTCAGATTTTAAAAAAGGAACAGCTTAGGTCACTTTCATAAACAGCATATTCTGATTTACTTTTCTTCAAACAAAGCCCTTCTAGTAAAAGGGCATATTTAGGGCCTGGTGTGGTGGTGAATACCTCTAATGCCAGCCTTTGGGAGGCTGAGACTGGAGGATTCTGAGTTTAAGGCCAGCCTGTACTACATACATATAAAGATCCTGTATTGAAAAAGGACATGTTTTGGTTCTGTCTGTTGGGCTATCTTAGAATTAAGGACACCTTGTCTGGAGCAGACAGTTGAGATGGACCGGACCCACTTTCTCACTTTCTGCATATTCCTTACCTGCTTGAGTGTGAGGGTCTTTGCCTTTTCTTTTGAGGTGCCCATCTCCCACACACAGACCACGGTGCTCGTGCCACCTGTGATGACCAGCTTGGGGTTGGGGCAGATTGCACAGAGAATCTGGCCCCATTCGGACAAGCATTCATAAACAGTCACTGCCTACAAAACAGAGCAGATGTGAACCAAATATGCTGCCACGTACTCAGACTCCCACAATGCAAAGCGCAGAGCTGCATAAAGGGAAAGGATTTCTGGGGAAGCCCACTCTCAGTCAAACACACTCACATTCAGGGCTGGGTTCAGTTCAGTGACATTGTCAATGAAGCTGAATGGTCCCAAAAGCTTCCTAACTGTAGTGGAGCTAACCATATCTATTTGTTTATAATGGGTCTATATTTTCTCCAGTTGGTGCAAATGATGCTCAAGTTGTATGATGCCCTGTAAGATGCAGGGGATAATCTGGCAATAGGTATGCTTGCTGAAGCCAGTGAAAAATGAGAAAAGAGAACATGTTAATAAGAAGCACATGGACTAAACGGTGTGGTGTTACCGTGCAATTTATGTTACCGAGCATAGTAACCTTCTTACATTTGGAAAAGGTCCCCTAGAGGACAAACACAGACTGATACAAGATCCTTGCCTGTTGCTGCTCAGAGATACTTACGCGATTCAAAGCTGCAGCCTGCAGGATCAAGGTGCAACTTTTTCTGTTAGCTACTTTAGAGTTTTAAAACAGAGGTGGGCTAGATGAGAACTTGCCAGAAGAGGCTATCTTGGTTGGCAGGAATGGTGAGCCCCCGGCTTGCTGGCTAGAATCTCTTAAAGGAATTCAGAGAATGGGAGGGGAATTGGCAGCCCCCATCACATAACTTCCTAAAGGAGACCTGTTTTGTAGGCAGCTTGACCCTTCTACTAGATCCCTTATTTTGATAACAGGGAAGGAATCTTTCCTTTCTTCTGGCTACTGGATGAGCAACAGGCCAGTCTTTGGACTAGGGTTTCCCCACTGGTGTGAACCTGAATTTCCAGACCATAAAACAATAAGACCAAGTAAGAAAGCAAGAAATAATACAAACCTTGTCTGACTCATAGTTCCCCAATCTGCAGCTGAGATCTGCATAGCCCCAAGCGAAAGTTTTGTTCCATGTTGGTGGGATAAGAACCTTGTTCTGTTCTACCGCAAGAATGCCTTTATCTGTACATACTATTTGTCCCACAGGCTCCTTGAGTTCTATAAAGAAATGAATCACTCCATTAGGATAGGATAGGGAGTGTGACTTTATGATCCCCTTGGAGGTGGTAAGGTCACCTCAGATATTCACACAAATTAGCACTCTTGTATCTAATTAAGATGAAGTAACCTCAGAAGTATAGCCTGGACCATTTTAGGCTCCTACAAGACCTGCTAGGTGTGATAACAGCCCGAATAGGTGTTATGCAGGCTTCCTTCTGGACACTCTAGGCAATCCAGAATGCATCTCTATGGTTGCAAAGTAATCTCAGATGCTCTTGAAAATGTCACAGGGACACACAGGCCATCAACCAATCCATGTTTTCAGCCTCCCAAGCTAAAGCCAGCCCTCAGACTGCTTGAGGGCAGCCTAGAGCATTACCTGGGAGACACATTCCTTTCTCCTTAACAGAGTTTGCCAACCAACTAGTTTTCCAAACCGTTCACTGGGCAGTTACTGAAGTAGGTATAGACCCGTCTATGTAATGAGGCAAATAAGTGGGGGCATGGAGCCAATCGTGTGACTCAGGCTTTGATGCTCCAATCCTTGACCTTTGTAAAACAACAACCATAAGACTTTATAAAACAAGTTTTTCAGTTGGGTGCCAGTGGCTCACACCTATAAACCTACTCAGCAGGCTGAGATCTGAGGATTGTGGTTAGAAGCCAGTCCAGGAAGGAAAGTCCGCAAGACTAGTCAAATCTCCAATTAACTACCAAAAAAGCCAGAAGTGGGTCTGTAGCTTGAGTGGTATTGCACAAGCAAAAAAGCTCAGGCCTTGAGTTCAAGCCCTAAGACTGACACATACACTAAACAAATATTTTTCTTTTTCTTTCAAAGGGAAATTTTTCTGCTTTAAAAAATGGTCTAAGATTACCCATTTTATCATTGGATAAGAGATCTTTTAGTTGTCATCTTAAAAATATGGTCCCCTTACTGCTATATTTGATAGGTGGAATATATGTAACTGAAAATGAAGAGTGAAGACAGATAAGATGGATTTCTTTATGGGTGAAGTTGAGATTATGGTAAAATTCTTGTACTTTGTAATTTTGACTAATGTAACAGAAGGAGAAATTTGTTGGCCTCTTCAGGTTGAAATCAACAAAAAAAACCAGGAAAACTATACATACTAACAAGTATTTAGTAATTCTGAGCACAAAACACATAGATAGTAGCATTTGTAACACAAATTACACTATTGCTACAAAGCAATTTTTAAAATTGTTAAACTAGGATTATTAATTAGTCTTATCAAATCATGAACTGAGTTTATTTCTCATACCTTTCACAGGAGTTAGAGAAGGCCTCAAGTTATCTAAGTGATGGAAAAAGATCTTGTCACTTGTGGATCCTGGAGGGACAGACATGCCCACATTGTCTCCATTGAGTCGACTCCTCACTCGCTTTGGGGGGTGAGGCTTTTTAAATAACTGGTACAAGGGAAGAAGTACACTTTACAATGAGAGATAATATTTACTACTATTTACTTTATATGCCAAACATTACATTTTTTTAACTTAAGCTTTACAACAAATATGAGGCACTATATTATCTCATTTAACATTTTAGGTAAGAAACTCAAAGAGGATAGGAAGATTGTCAGAGAACTTACCTTAGTAAGTAGAGACAGGTTTATGATACTGAAGTTTGGGTTGTTATCATGTTCTATACTAAGCCATATTAATTTTATAAAAGAAAAAATCAATGCACTCAAACTTCAGCTGACTGACAATTATTTTTTAACACCTGTGTTCATGAAGAATTTTTATATGAACACCTAAGGATAAAGATAAAGTACTATGCTAGGCCACAGTATATAAAGAAAGATGGATCATTATATCCATCTATAAGATTTGGTAGGATGGTTCAGTAGAATGCCCTATAAATATGTTGTCACCCAAACTATATTTTTTGTTCTGCTGATTTCTTATACTCCAAAGTAGCAGAAAAACACTACAATGGTAAAGAGTCTTGATTTGTTTGTTCAGAATATTTGTTTCTCAAGGGGTATGAAACATAGTTCATGTTCTTGTAACTCTCAGGAAACAAAATGATTAACCAAAGATTTTGATAACATTCTCTGACTAATAGTTATCAATAGGTATTTTTTTAAAGTAAACGTTTCCTTTGTTGAAGGATGAGTGTATTGTGAACCACACAATAGCACCTGTCCGACTGTCTACCATGTTTTGTCGTGTACAAAGCCTTGCCATTGTTCTCTGTGTCAATGCAGGTGGTCTCAAAGTTGGTTAACCTACAAAAAGGTACTCCAGGAGAGACATGAAGAGCAAGAACACAGAAGACAGCTGAGGCTCAAATTGTAGAGCCTCTGGGACTTGGCGTAGGTGGATAGGTGGGAGAGTAGCAGTCACACCTGGTGCATTGCACACTTCTGTGTTCCTACTACAGTGAGGATGGAACCTGACACCAGGTCTGCAGTGTCCAAGTGCTGACAGGTTTAGCTCTTGGTCTTCCTACCCAGACTCCAGATGGTGCACAGCAATTGCTGGATGCTTTCTTCATGCCTACCTTGCTAATCTAACCCAAAGCACCAGTACTGATCCCCTGCCCTGTTACAATAGCTCCCTACGTACTCTTCTGCTCTCAACCTTGCTCCTGTTGTAGAGTGTGGTGTGTGTGTGTGTGTGTGTGTTAGAGAGAGAGAGATAGAAAGAGAGAGAGGGAGAGAGAGAGAGAGGGGCGCCAGTATGAACTTTTCTAAGTGTATATATTACTTTGTCATTTTGCCGCCTACAGTCAGCACAAGTTTCCCTCTGCATCCAAAAGAAAACCCATCTCTGGGGCCTACCAGCCCCACTGCTGGTACTTCAGCAGGTCCAGGAAAACATTCCCCACAATCTGTTGGTAAAACTCTGTTTAAATAACAAAAGTATTTCATTATTCAGACTGTATAAGTGAAGAGAAAGCAATAATCTAGCAATCTATGAAATCTAATGGGTAATACTGATGGTGCTTTATTTAATTTGTTTAAAACTTAATTACTACATGGTTGTCTACCATCTAGAGAAACATTGCAGAGCTTAAAAATGGAAGCAGAACACACTAATGATAATAAAAGCACATTCATACCTGTTTTGGGATCTGACCAAAGTTATTAATGAACCCGATGGTGGCTGTCTCTTTCAGCGGATCATTTATGTTGTAGATATCCACTTGACCCTCATAAAAAAGGTGATGGAATACATTGACGGCTTCTACTGCAGCAGGGCCCTGTTGCTTATAGCCAAAGATCAAGTCAATCCACTCATGCAGATGGGCGCTCACGTAGTCACATTCCAAAGCCTGAGATTCCAAAACATAGGCTGAGTCAGTCACAGGATGTCTTTTATTACTTACTCAAAAAGTAAAACAAAGTTTCTAGTGGTCAAAAGGAACTAAAATAACTATGTGGGAAAAAAATTATTAGTAACATAAAGCAAGTTCTTCTATACTACAGGTCCTCCTGTCATGTGGTCATGACCAAATGAAAGCCAATCTGCAGTACATACAGGGTAACCTCATTACCTCACGGTGGACTCTGATGAATTCTCGAGGATCTCCTTTCGCCCAGGGTGGAAGAATAACATCTCCAAGCTTAGTGCCATTTTGTTTACAGCCTATGCAATTAGGATACATTAGAAAGAAAATCAGAGAATGAGATAAATGGCAATTTCCTACTAAAGTGACAGAGAAATACTGTGTAGATTCACTACCAGAATCAGATGGTTTCATTACAGAAGGTCCCTGGAGAAATGGATCCTGACACCTCCCCAACCACTTTGCTTTCTTGCCAGACTCCCAAATAGTATACTGCTAACATATACCGTCCTCCTAGATACAGTTTATGGAAGGCTGTTCATCTCAGGGCTCCTTTTCAATGAAACATTTTGTGAGACTCCTTTTTGGAGTCTCCTGGAGAAAACTGCAGTCTATAAGGCCTCTCATATTACTGACACTTAAATTCCCCAGGGAGCAGTGCAGAACTGAGGGGTATTTCAAAGTGAAGATTCTTATTAAAAAGTGAGACCTGAAACAAGGTAATGTTGTGCTGTTCTTGCATCATTTAAAAGAAAAAAAATATTCAGAAAACCTACGGGACTACCTCAAAGAAATAAAAACATCATGTTATAATAAAACATCTAGATAATATTTATACTACTTAAATTGTAGCCAGATGATCCTGAAGTCATTTCCCATAAAATATACTCACAAACAAATGTATTAAGTAGGATTTAATATTTAAGAAGATAAGTTCTTCATTTTGAAATAGCTCCAGAAAGTAATTGAAGTTTAGTTTTTACAGGTTTAAATGACATTATCATTGTAAAAACTTGAGCATACACAACGTTGGCTTACTAAATTCACAGTAGTTGGTTGTTTCATTAGAAATAGAAAAGCGCAGTAGTTATAACAAGACCATAGCCAATTACTTCCCTCAAAACCCATTTTGTCAACATCATAGTTATTTGCTTATTTACAAGGTGATCCCTGAAGTATTTTCCTCTCCCCTCCCAACTCTTCCCATCTAGATACTAGATACTCAATTCTTATCAGAGATTATTTGCAAAGATTTTCAATTGCCTATGCTATTTCCTCCCACCCTCCCTTAAAAAAAATTCTGTCAGTAGTGGGGATTGAACTGAAGGTCATAAGATTGCCCGGCAAGCACTATCCCCGAAGTGAAGCCTCCAACTCTTTTTGTTTCCAGTTATTTTTCAGAGATTGTCTCAGGCCTATTTTCTGGGCAGGCTTTGGATCAATATCCTTCTATCTGCATCTCTTGCCTAGCTGGGATTACAGAACTACACCACACACCTGGCTGCTTCTCTCACAGGACCTTAGAACCTTTTTGCCCAGGCTAGCCTCACTCTGCCATCCCACTATTTCATCTTCTTGGTAGGCAAAAGCCACCATTCCCATTTACCTCTTTACTTGCTTGACAAAGTTTTCAATTTTGGTGAAGACCAATTTGTCCTTTGTTGTTGCTGATTGTGCTTTTCATAACATACCTCAGAACCCACTACACCAAAGTGAAGACCTTGAAGACATATCCTTAGGTTTTTCATATAGTAGTTCTGTGATTTTAGATTTGAAATACTGATTTTGATAAGTGTGTGATTTCGAGATAGTAAGATGATGTGTTATGAAGGTGAATACAACAAGATATGATCTTCTTTTTATTTACTTATTTGGTGTAGGTGGGCTTGTAGATGGTCCAGCTGGACACTTTATAACAGAGATTATAATTGATCTAGTATTTATGGAAGACTGGGGTCTCTTTATTTCTGTACCTGTCCCATTTTTATCTCTTTGTAAGAGGTGTCCTTAGGGGAAGAAGGCAGCATTCTTCAAGTGAATCATAGAGGAACACAAGAAAGCAAATGCTATAGCACATGGTGTTGGTTGTGTGCTAAGCAGCCTCTGCATTCCTGCTCTAGAGTGAGATTCAGGCTGTTAAAGGTAATGGAGACTTTTGCTGGTGGGGATACTAAAGTTTATTATCCTTCCCACTGAGACTCATTTCAGCAAGTTAGGATTGAAAAATTAGCCTTGAAGAATTAAAAAAAAAAAAAAAAACCAAAGAACAAAAAACTGGGTACCAGTGGCTCATGTCTAGAATCCTAGTACACAGGAGTTCTAGCTACTTGCTAGATCTGAGGATTATTGTTTGAAGCCAGCCCAGGCAGGAAAGTCTGTGAGTCTCTACTATACCAAAAAAGCTGGAAATGGAGCTGTGGCTCACGTAGTAAAATGAGCTAAAGAAGAAACTCAGAGACAGTGCCCGACCCTGAGTTCAAGCTCCAGTAATAACACAAAACAAAAGAAAAAAGAAAAAAATCCATGCAAATGTAATGGATATGAGTATTTCCCTGATTTTTCTGTTAATGAAAATTTAAAGGCTTTGAGGTAATGATTTATATGCTAAAATCTAAAAAACAGAAAACACAGCATATCAAAAAAAAATACCTGGCACAAATGTTCTAAAGTGAAAACAATGGAATTGTGCTATGTTTTTCAAAGAAAGCTTAAAATGCACATATCCGCAAGTCGTGTTCAAGAAATTGTAACCAAAGTCAAATCAACTTCCTCTAAATGCTAGGTAATAAAAAGCCCAGCAGAGGAAATTCCTCTCCTTTTTATAAATACTGAGTTAGTGCTATTTTTTCCTTAAAGGAAGAATCCTAACAAGACAAAGAAAAGGGGTTTACTTAGATATTTATTTATTATTTTCTTTTGTGCCAGTCCTGTACTTGAACTCAGAGCCTGGGTACTTTTTTTGCTCAACGTAGTGCTTTACCACTTGAGCTAGAACTCTACTTCTGACCTTATTCTATGTACTTCATTGGTGATAAGAGTCTCATGGACTTTCATGGCTCTGGCTGACTTTGAACCGCAATCTTCAGAACTCAGTTTCCTTAGTAGCTAGGATTACAGGCACGGGCCACTGAAAATTGGTTTAGTTATTTTTAAATTCTTATTTTAGCATATAAACTAAACAGAGAATGCTTCAGGTAATATGCAAGATTAAAATGGTCCATGAAAAACTTTGCTATGCTGCTCATGGCTGTTAGTGGATTTCAATGGTTACAGCTTTCAAACTCACTTTCATGTCACCTTTGTTTTCACTGAAATCCCCAAATCTGACCAACAGATGGAATCTCTAACAATTTTTAAAATGTTTCCTGGCCTGTTGGTTTGAAACAACCCTTTTGGGGAATAAACTCATATAAACACACCCAACTACAGTAAATATCAGTAACCGAAACTATGGGAAATCTTTTCTTATTAATGTTTGCTGCAGAAAATAATTTTCAGAAAAGTGACTTGTTTCTATCAGTCTTTCCTTGACGAACTTTTTTAGGTTAGTGGCATAGTTATACATACCTAGATCAAAGTTGTTGGAGTTGAACAGGAACTCGGGTAAGTAAAAGAACTCTGGGATAAGTTCTTTCACGTCTGCCATGTTGTGCTTTGACGCTGAGTACCAGGCCTCCCGCACACTGTGGAACATCCGGTCAGCTAGGTCAAAGTGACCACCCTGTGGCAGAATGAGAAGGCATCTCACTAGATAGAACCATCCTCACCTCACAGCTCCTGTCCAGTTGACAGGCTTGAAAATCTCAGATGTTAGATGACATTTCAATTTCTCATTGTGCTATGTTAAAAATGCAAGATTAAGGGGCTGGGAAGGTGGCTCAGCAGTAGAGTGCTTGCCTTGCCTGCGTGAGGCCCTGGGTTCCATTCCTCAGCACTACATAAGCAGAAAAAGCCCGAAATGGTGCTGTGGCTCAAGTGGTAGAGCGCTAGCCTTGAGCTGAAGAGCTGAGGGACAGCGCCCAGGCCCAGAGCTCAGGCCCCATGACAGACCAAAAAAAAAAGCAAGATTAAAAATAATCAACAAAAAAAATCCAATATTCTTTGGAATTTTCCTTACAAAGAATGCTCAATGTATTTTGTTTCATAATGAAAATGAAATCCAATCAAATACAATGATTGTAAAAAGTCTTTTAAGGAATAAATTTTGAGGTGGGAGAGCAGGAATGTAAAGAAATATGAATACTTTTATAGTTTGGTAATATTCTACTAGAAAAAATTCTAATGTAAGCCATTACCGTTAGAAGTAGTCAAGTTATATTAGATATATAATGTGACAAGTTTTCATAATAATGAGAATGAAGTAGATAATTCAAAGTATGATTAGAAAGTTAAGGGGAAACAACGAAGGAGGCTACAATGCTTGATAAGAAATGTACTCATTATCTTGCCGATATAATTTTAACCCCTCTGTACAGTATTTTCACAATAAAAAAAAAAGGAAGTTATACGTTGACAACTAGGAAAGGTGTATTACTTTCCCTATGGAAGCTCCTAGATATACCACCCTCCTCCTCTAATCAAGTGCCCCTCACTATGTTTGAAGTGATCATGGCACAATTTGTCTTAAGAAATGTTCACTGTGAAAAAATACCAAAGCCTTCCACCCAATGGCTACCAAGGTTTTTCCCAGACTGGCCCCATTTCCTTTCTTAACCCCCCCCACCCCCCCGCCTTGGCCCATGACTTCACACACACACTGCATTCTGGACATGGCTAGAAAGTACAAGCTACTTACTTAACTGAAGGACTCCAGTACTTTTTATTCTAAATCAAGTATTATTAACCAATTTTGGTCTACCAATTAATTCTACTTGAATTCTGATTGGCTACTTCTCACTACTAAAACTTTGCAGTTTTTCTTTTTTAAATAAGGCATAGTAACAATATTTTTAAAATGAGAAGCAGGCTTGAGCAGAATGGTAAAATCCCAAATTTAAGAGTTTTACCTGTAGTCTTAAGAATATCTGGGTAAAAGGCTCCATCCTTACAAGGTATGAGGCCACAATCATTGCAGATGAATAATGGGTCCCGTAGTGGTAGGCTGGAGTTTCTCCTGTTTCAAACAATTACAGTGTCATTGAAAACAAAAGGAAACAAAAAAAACTCTTCAACATTCACTAATAGGCTTGAAAAGTCTAGTAACTTTAACTGTGATGACTGCAACAGTAAATGCAGTTAACTGCTGGCACTTTTAGCAGGAAAACTTACCATGATACCACTATCCCTTGTGCACATTATCTGGCACTAATCCAAAGGATTTATTCATGGTCTGTCCCCTAAAAGTTAGCAAACCTTCCAGTATCACGTTTTGAGGTCTACTGCTGAATGCTAACCCTTAATAACATAGTCTTCCAATGAAGCAGAATATTATCTTGTAACTATTTTTAAATTAGGTTCTGGCTGTGCAACTATATATTTCTCTAAATTGCTGTACATAAATATATTATGTATTGTTATTATGTATCCTCCTTAGCAGAGGCAGAGAGAGAGAGAGAGAGAGAGAGAGAAACACAACTTATAGTACTTATAGTCATACTAAGAGGTTTAGGCTTCCCCTACTTCTGTTTTGCCTATTTGAAAAGGAAACATAATAAATATCAAACATAAATTTCAACAGTAAGTTATATAGTTTAAGAAAGGAGTGAATTCATATTTTAAAACATTTTTAGCCTGTAAGAGGGCTAAAGCATGACTCAATAAAGTTAAAAGAGAGCCAATATGTGAAAGTGTATCCTGGACCAAACCTGACTAAAGATGGAAGGTAGATTATGATAGGACCCTTTTGACACTTGCAAAGCAGACATACTGAGGTTTCTGCTGAAGAGCTGGCTACAAATGCCTTTGAGGCTTGACTATACTTTTGCGTGCAAAAATCTGATTTTCCTGCTCTAATTATTTATATGCAGGTGTGCACCTATATAAAGATATGTAAGCAGCTTGAGATGTCAGACTACTAATGGATTACATCTGAAACTTAGGTACAAAGCCCAATGACCAAAAAAGTTGCTTACCATTAGGGTCCTCCCAATCTTTATACCGCTTCTTATACTGAGCCAGTCGTTCATCTGTCTGTGCTCCCATTGGTTTGGCCAGGTTTCTAAATGTCTTGGGATTGGTAAGATCTACCTCCTAGAATACAAAACAAAACTCAATGTCAAGTCCCTTAAATTCTGCCAATCTAGATATAATACCTAACTGTGATTATTTATAAATCTGCTAGCATGGGTGGGATAGAATAAACAGAGCTGAAATCTTGAAAAATAGTGTGTGTACTATTCACCCATATTTTATAAAAAGATACTCCCTCCAAATTCACTCATGATTTCACTTTCCTCAAACTAAAGCAACCAGTAATTCATTATTTCTTAAAGAATCTATCAGATCAAATGACATCCAATTGCAATAATTTTTTTTAGTCTACCAGCAATATTTGAAAAGTTCATCTTGTGCCAACCTAGTTCATATACTTGAAAGGAAACTTACTCCCTTAGGTTTTAAAAGCAAAAAGTTGAAATATGTGCCTGTGACATATTTGTCTTTTTATAGGGCATCATAACTGACAAAATTTATTTTAAAAAATCTTTTGTAGCCAGTGCCTCATGTAATCCTAACTACTCAGGGGGCTGAGATCTGAAAATCAGGGATCAACAGTTCAAAACCATTCTGGACAGGAATGTCATGACACTCTTATCTTCAATTAGCCATCAAAAAGTCAGAAATGGAGCTGTGGCTCTAACCTTGAGTAAAAACCTGTGGTACAGCTCTAACCTTGAGTAAAAAAGCTCAAGGACAGCACCCAAGCCTTGAGTTTAAGCCCCAGCTTAAGTTTCTCTCTCTCTCTCTCTCACACACACACACACACACATCTTTTGCAGGAGAAACTGAACAACATTGATGAATATAAGTTTAATTATTATATTGTCCTTGCCAAGTCTACATGCAAAGTACATTATACTTAAGTCAACAAATACTAAATAGGGTCAGACAAATAACTTACTGTAAACAAAAACTAATGTGAATAAAAAGAGATAAAAAGAACCATGACACAAGACTATAATGCATTTGGGGAGTAAAGTAGACCGAGGAGTGAAAGAAGAGTGTTCTCCATCAAAGGGGTGATGTCTGAATGTGTCTTCAGTAATGCATTGAGCTAGCCAGGTGAATTATTGGTGGAGAAGAGATACAGGTGTTATGTAGGTGTTCAGGTGAATTCCAGACAGGCTCAACTGCCTGGAAAAAGCTACAGATGAATGAGAGTGGGAACTGGGGCAAGCGGGACAGCAGTGAGGGAAATATATGGGAACATAGAGGTACGACACAGAAATGCACAGAGAATGACGAACAGGAGTAAAAGGGGACCTGTGACATTCCTGTGAGATACATGTTCAAGTCTACAGTCCCCTATTCTCTGCACAAAAAAAGTACTTAAATCTTTTTGGATTTCCTACATCTTTCTTTGGTTAACTTAAAGGAAAAATATTTGTATTTTTTATCAGCTTTTACTCCAGAGCTTTTCTTCTCCTATTGCATGAATTTATGTACCAAAATGTGTACTAGGTACGCATATTAACAGTAGATGCAGCATACAGATTGAAATGCAAATGCAAAATGTATTCACAATCATGTTGAGAGGGTTGAGTTCCATTCTTGCATTACACTAACATTTTCTGAGGATAGCTTTCCCTCTTTCCCTAATATAATGTACACAATTTCCAATGATCAAAGCATCCCAGACTTTTTGTTGTTGTTGTTTGTATATTCAGACTGAACTTGCTTGAGCCCAGTATTTTGTTTTTGGTTTGATTTTCATGGTCTTGTGCACTAAGTGCTTGAACTGTCCTCAAAAGCTTATTCTCCTATATCTGCCTCTTGAATAGCTGAGACTGAAGGTATGAGCCACCACACCTGGCTCAATTTTAAGAGTAACTTTCTTTTCTTTTTTTTTTTGCATGCTTGTTTATTGAGAGCCAAACTTTTCTTATTTTGCCCCATAACTGGTTCATCAGAACTAATTTAATAGGAGGTAAAATAAGAAAGGAGAGGTAACATTTATATGTGATTACTTACTGATACCCACACCTCAATCATGAACATGCTTACTTGTGAAAAATATTCTTCTAAGGTTTCTGGCAGGAATATTTTGCAGAAAGGCCATTTCACATTTTTCTAGCAAACAATCCAAACTACAGAGATGGAGTCTGACACTAACCAATGAAGGCAAATTAATTATCACTCAAAGAAACTGAAGGCATTGTAAGTGGGTCAATTATTTAAACTTGTTTAAACTTGTTTACAAGACTAAGCTGAAATTCTTCTCATCACCTTGAAATAGATAGTGCCTACTGGGGAGCTAAACTACAAAGTAAATAAAATACTGGGCAAGTTTAATACTTAATTTATTTCTGCAAATGTATTCTTTTGAGTTAAACTGTCTTGAGATTTACCTCTGAATCGTAATCTGCAAGGATCCAGGGAAAAACTGGGTACTGCATGAGATCATTGTACGATCGGCCAGCCAGAGTGTTCAAGTGCATCAAATACTGGAAGTTGCTGATTTCACCTCTCTTGAAAAAGATAATATTCATTTTAGAGAATCATTTATTGCTACTATGCTTATTAAAAATGATGTACAAGGCAGCTTCTTTTGAATAGATTTCAGAAAAAACAACCCCCCCCCAAAAAAAAGAACAACAAAAAAGTTTTATTTATCGTACACATTTTATGCGGCCTGGCAGGAAAATCTGTGAGACTCTTACCTCCAATGAACTACTCAGAAAAAGCTGGAAGTAGTGCTGTAGCTCAAGTAACAGAGCTCTAGACTTGAGCACAGGAGGCATAGACACTTATACCACTGATTATAAAGTACTAGGGAAATTATCTGTTCATTAAGCTTACCTCCCATCTCTGAGTCACAGACTTCTCTCCAACCAAAGTGCTAAGCAATCCAGATCTAAAAAAAACAAAAACAAAAACAAAATAAAACAATTATAGGCAACATAGTTTTAAGATGAGCAGGTCTGGGGTTGAAAAATTTAAGTCACCTGATGCAGGAATTTTTCAGACTACAGGGGACCTAATGGATCATGAAATCATCTTAAAGGTTATCAGCAACATTTTAAAATACAAAACAGAACTGAAAAAGATGGTGAATATCAACAAAAGTATTTCAAGTTTTTGATTCAGCATGTGTGCACAGGGATTTAATGTTTTATATGCATGTGTGTATCCATTGGTAAGTGTATATACATACACACATACATAACTCTATGCCTAATAGACACAGCCCTCCACATCCAATAAATGTGTCAATATTTAAACTTTTTTACATGTTTAGGATAAAAAGCTTCTTAATCATTTTGAAATACATATATAAAGTCTAGGTCGTGATCAAGAGTTGGAAAAACAATATAACTTAACTTTTAAATTTTCAATAAAACTATGTAAACAGATCCAAAGTTAACTAAGAGAAGTAAATGTCGAGTAGCCTACATATATAAAGGCATATAATACATCTCCTAACAGTGATACTGAATAAGTATGACTATTTTATACTATATATGTATATATACTATATTTTATATAGTATTTAAATAGTTGCTTATATATAATTTTAGAAAGTATATAAACTTTATTTAAGGTTTATCACCTTTATAATATTGGTAATTAAGGACAGAGCAAGGAACAGGAAGAGAGTCTTTATGTACTTTATTATCTGAAAGGAAATCAGTAGATGTAAATTTTAGATTGTCACAGTCATATACAGCTCAGTAATACAGACACCACATCCCACTTTATATAAATTCTCTCAATTAGGTAAATTAAATAAGCAAGTCAGTCTCTCTCTTCAAAAGAAGCATGAGTTAGATTTTGAAAAGAAACATTCAGGTTAGAAGAACTCTTAAAAGTTAAAGAACTATGAATTCAACACAGAGGTAAAAATAATGGGACAGCAAGTTCAAGCTGATTTGTTACAGGGAAAAGAACCAACAATTTGCTTAACAGTACAAAATGTGCTCTCAGGAAAATCTATCTATGTATCTATCTATGTATCTATCTATGTATGTATCTATGTATCTATCTATCTATCTGAATAACTGCCTGCCTATCTATTTCTGGTAATAGGGAGCAAACCCAGACTCTTGTGCATGGTAGCACAGCATGCCACCACTGAACTGCAACCTAATCTCTCTACCTTGCCATCCTTCTGACTCTGCCTTCCAAGTGTTGAGATTATATGAGTGTTCCTCCATGCCTTTCTTACTTCCTATTTTATGTTAACCATAACACAATGGTTTACAACAGAGTACATCAGAATGATTCTGATGTTAACAGAAGCATGTATTTAGTATTTATATTTGCTAAGCCTTAGCTACAGAAAAATGAAAGCAAAAAAGGAAAAGTAGTCTAAGATTAAAAATATCCTTAACAGAGTAAAAGGAACCAGTGACAGGTCTACATATATACCAGCTCAAGTTTAAATTTATATGTCAAACAAAAGAGAAAGGTAGATCAATTTGCAACAAACAAGGTAAGCAGAGGGGTGATAAATACCTTATAGAGAAATCCACTATGAACAAATAGTAAGAATTCAAAGAATGGGCAAACTTATAATGAACAACAAACCTTGCTTACTAGTAATTAATAAAATACATTTAAAAAATGAAAAAGCATTTTATAAAAATCGGCAAGACCTTAAAAATTAACATAGGAAGCTGTATGATAGGTGAGCTTATCTAACAATGGTGGAATTTAAACTTTGGTAATTTTTATAGCTATCAGCTTGGTTTTGTGTATCAACAATCTTAAAACTCATGTACCTTATCTTACTACAGACACCACCCCATCACATTTCTACTATAAGAAAACCTGGTACAAGTGAAATATCAACAAATAAGAGAATGCTGTATATATATAACAGTAGGTACTGACTAGAAGTCATTACTTCTGAAGAATTTTCTAAAGGTATGTGAATATATGAATATAATACTGATTGGAAACAGCAGAATAAAGCCTTGTATTCAGAGTATAAATTCAAGTGTACACACAGTAGTATATGCACCTTAAAAGACTAATGGATCAAAATGTGAGCCATTTTGGATAATCCTAATTATGGATACTTTTTTGTTTTTGTCCTAATTTCCAGGATTCAAAGTTTTTTCCTATTACTCTCCACAGGGACAAACACAAATGAAACATCAAATAATACTCTTTAGATATGAATCAACTTAAACTCCTGCAAGGAAGAAACAAAGCACCTACCCCTGCTCCACACTGGTGTTGGGCCTTTGTCCAGACACAGATTCTGAACTGTCGGTTAAAGACGGCACTACTGCCAGAAACCTGGAAAATTAAAAACCAGCATAAAGTTGCAAATGAAGCCTCAGAAGGGTCTAATGATGCCTAAAAAAAGGATAATTCACTTTGATCATCACTGCTGCACGACCTCCATAATAGCCATAAAGGGGCAGGCAAAGGGACCAGATGACAATCAGAACAACGAATATGACAGTCCACCGTCTACTGCTTTGTACTTTTTTCTTTTTTTCTAAGTCATGGGGCTTGAACTCAGCACCTGGGCTCTGTCCCTGAGCAGTTTTGCTGAAGGCTAGAGTTCTGCCACTTCCTGTCTTCAGGTGGTTAACTGGAGATAAAAGACTCATGGACTTTCCTACCAGGCTGACAGTGAACTGTGATCCTCAAATCTCAGGCCTCCTGAATAGCTAGGATTACAGGCATGAGTGCCCACCCTGGGTGCTTTGTACTTTAACTTGAGCTATCATAATACCCAAATTGGGTTGGAGGGGTAGGGGAGAACACAGTTCCTAACATTGATTTTCAGGAACTGAGTCAACTTAATGAAGCATAACGGATGGTTTGATATATTCACCTGACAGCAAGTAATGATGACAGCTAAAAAAATGATAGCAGAGACTTTACCAAACAAATGAAGACACATACCAGAGAGAACTTTTATATACAGTTAGAAGTTTTATCAGAATTGACATATATGTCAATATAAACTTGGGAAAAATTATGAGAAAATTCCTGGAACAAATATGGATCTTGAATGTAACATTACGTAGAAGTTTCCAAAGCCAAACTCATCTCACTGCAGCCTTTAGCTATGAAGGGCAAATAATTGCCTAGTGTTGAAAACAATACTGCTTTTAGAAATTGGTGTTACTTATATATAAAAAGGGAATCTAGTCCTTAGACCACATTACAGTGGCCCCCTCTCTCCACCACAAGTTATATCTTTGCTTCCTGCAGTTTGGACCAAAGGTGGTCCAAAATATTACATGGGAAACTCCAGAAATAAGTGATTCACAAGTAGCTCCCTATAACATATTATAGAATAATTCCAGTGTATTTTAGTTGTTGTTAATCTCTTATTGTATCTATTTTGAAAGTTAAACTTTGTTACAGAGACATACATATAATAGGAAAAAAGTATTTCCAGTTCTCTGCATCTGAGGAGCCTGAAGGAATATGTAACTCTGAATAAAGGAGGATGACTGTTCCATACTGTATTGTACTGACACACAGGGTTACATGATAGCAATTAATTCTTTTGGAAGAAATTTAAATACAAAACTTCTAGTAGCAGAGGAATTGTGAGGATTTAGATCTCCCTTCAGACAATAAGACAAAGCTTCTCAAGTCTATGATGGGTTCACAGAAGCCTTATTATTTGCATATCCCTAGGTATGCCTGTAAGTGCCGGTGTGGTGGTGTGTTCTCCTCAGCAACTCAGGAGACAGGCAAGGAGGATCACTGGCTGGAGACCAAAATGGGCTATCTATATAACAAAACTATCTCATAAAATATCTTCAAGTATCACAGGTATGTATATTTTTCTTTAAAAATGTAAAATCTAAATATAGCTTACTACAACTAAATATAGTTTACTATTTTCAAGGAAAAAGGTATACAACTTCCCTTTCAAGGCCAGAAAAGACTGGAGTGAATATAATTTCTAATCAAACTCAGCCATTAAGCTCAATAGCAAGGGATGCTGTGACTTTCATTTTGAAGAAGCCTATTTTGAGCCTGAAATATTTTTTTAAAGCACGATTTGTCCTCTTTTAACATTCAGAGATACACAAAACTATGATACAAGTAGCCTTTGATAACCTCCACTGTAAGTTACCAGAAAGAAAAAAAAGTTTCACAATAGGTATTACTCTAAAAGTTATAAAATAATTATAGTTTAAGAGATGAACAAAAAATAAATGAAAATTTTCTTCAAAGATGTTGACTCACTGATATACATTCTAGATTTTCAAAAGCTAGTTGAACTGGTTGGTAACAGGTTCCCCTCCATATCTTCCCCTCACAGAGTATAAAACATTCTTAATAAACAAGACCTTTGGTAGACTTTGTTCCTAATTCCTTTCTGAAAAGCAAGGAGGTAATTCCGTCCATCTCCAGAGAAAACTTCAACAGCAATAGGCTGAAACAATCAGAAGCAGAGAGAGAGAAAAACCCATTAAGATAAAACAGAAGATCACATGTAAAATTACATATTAACTTTCTAATATTAATTTCTACAATGTTGAAGTTAATTTCTTAACTGAATAGTATTTTAGTTATGAAGTCTCTGAAGATTTTGCTACACAATGAAATATTTGTTTAATTTTGTTCAATGTATTTAGAAAATCTTTAAAAATAGATAAAATAATTCTATAATTATGTTTCTAAGATTAAAGATACTATGTAATTTTTTGCATTAGAAAACCAATTAAAATGCTGACTTGCCTCAGACACTGGTGGCTCACGCCTCTAATCCTAGCTAACTTAGAAGGCTGAGATTTGAGGATTGTGGTTCAAAGCCACCCCAAGCAGGAATGTCTGTAAGAGTGTCTCAGTGGTAGAGCGCTTGCCTTGCATGCATGAGGCCCTGAGTTTGATTCCTCAGCACCACATAAGCAAAAAGAAAAAAGCCGGAAGTGGTGCTGTGGCTCAAGTGGTAGAGTGCTAGCCTTGAGCTGAAGAGCTGAGGGACAGTGTCCAGGCCAGAGTTCAGGCCCCACAACCAGACCAAAAAAAAAGCCACAGGCAAAAATGATTAACAAACATTTAAATCTTAGGTTGTGTTTATTTTTTAAAGAGAGATATGATTTAGTTATGCATTCAGAGGATTGGAGTCTGTCTAAACAATGCAGATGCTTCAGTGGCTTTTTATGGTGCCTACCAGTTTTTAAATGGTGCATCTTCCAAACAAAGGAACATGATGAAATCTTTACTGCTACTATATGAACTCACCTGTAAGAGATACCTTCTTTTATGCACTTCCTTGATATCTTCATATGCGAAAATGCTGCAGGTTCTCTTAAGTTGACTGGGGCCTTGCCTGGCTCCTCTGGGGATAATTGGTTCATGCATACTAGATAGGTAGCCAAGGGAAAGAAGAGAAACAAACACACAGCAAGAGATAAGTTCACTGCTTAACAAAGGACCTGCTATTTTAAACGTATGAATAAAAGAGAGGCAAAATATCCAAATTTTCCTTTAAAAATATGTTTAAGAGAATAATCTGGCAGCTACCTGACTGCTCAAGTTTCTAACTTTTCCTCTAGCTTAGTCTTCTGAGTTTCTCTCTACTCACTATCATTTTATTTTTTTTTATTGATCATGGGGCTTGCACTGTCTCTGAGCTTTTTTGCTAAAGGCTAGCGCTCCACTTCTAGTTTTCTGGTGGTTACTTAGAGGTAAAGAGTCTCACAGACTTTCCTGCTTGGGTTGGCCTCTTGAGTCGCTAGAATTATAGGCATGAGTCACCAAGCTGGCTCCACACTATCAGTACTATCCTAGCACTGCAGAAAAAAAGGGAGATGAAGGGACCTCAGCTAATCCCTGCTTGGGCTCCAGTCAGCCACCTGCCAGGATCCTTGGAGTACATGAGAACACTCTTAGTTACATTTTTTATCTTATAAAGACGGCTGTACTTTGTGGCTCTTCATTCATTTACTTACTTTGGAGGCAAAGTTTCAATATCTCTTATTTCTCTGGTTGCTGTCATGGTAAACCCATCAATCACATAAAAATGCTCTTTCCCAAAAAGAAGTAGCCCCTCACTGGTATCCAGGCCCTGGACTCGAGCACAACGGTACATGTGTTGGATCTAGAAAGAAAGGCACAAATACAATATTCTTTAATATAGTTTTCTTCACTAACTTCAGCTTATTACTATTTTCTGTTATTCTCTTATAGCAACCCTGAGCTAGGCATAACAAAGCTGCATCTAAGCCCTTTAAGAAGCCCTTAGAAAGAATAGCTGTTTGCAGGGACCGTCAGTAAACCGAAATGGCCTTTTACTCACATTGTCCACTCATCTGTGTACTCCACCTAGCCCTTCCATTTCTCCCAGTGTTCAACAAGAACTATCTATCTGCCAGGCACATGGAACTATGTTCAAAGACACAAGCCGACGAGGTCCCTGATCTCATGGAAGGGACCAACACAATCTGCTGAGAAGAAAAGGGGCCTCAGACAAACATGGAAGGAGATTAGAGCAAGTGTTCCCTTCAAGAGGGAAGATGATACAGGGAGAAAATGACCTGCAGGGCCAGGGAAAATTCTCAGGCAGGTCTGTAGTTAAAACAGCTATTTGGTGGGATTTCTTAATTTCTCTGAGCTTGTCTGCCCCCATTTACTTGTGCTGGGATATACAAGATAAAGGACATGGTGCTGTATCTTTCCTGTGAAGTCCTCTGTCCTTTCTCCACAATACTCCCGGGCCCTGTCTTGTGGAATGTGACCGTTTCTCCCTACCTGGATCTTGTCTACTGGCAGACAAGATGACTGGTATCATTGTAAAAAGCTAAGCCTGGCAGAAGCTCTGATTTCCTCACAGGAGGAGGGTTTACTAAATCTCTCAATGTAACTATTGTTTTCTTTTCAAAGGACAATAGGTTATTCTTAGTAAAAGTCTTTCTTACTTAAACTCTAGTTCAATGTGAGTCAAAGGGAAAAAAAATCAGCCACTAAATCAAAGCTAAACAAATGTCAAATAAATGTCAGTTGGAATCCATTTCCTGCACTATTCAAACTCAAACCAATTAGAGCAAACACTACACTCAAGGATTACAAGTTTTAAAAAATGGACAGAAAATAGAAAGTTTGTTTCCACTGGTGAGGGAATATAATTAGGAGAGAAGAAATGTTGACCAAACAGCACAAATAGGTAGAGCTTGCAGTGGAGAATAAGTTTCAGTCACCTTTCCTATGACACTGTGGCCATGGGTAGCAAAAATTCATTATGTATTTCAAACTGACTGAAATAGGTTAATAAGTCTCCTTACAAAGTGATAAATTAGTGAAGTGTGATGGATGGTTGTGCTAGTTAGCGTGACTGAATCTTTCTGTAATGTTTATAGATAAAAAATCAGAATGTACCGAAATGCAGTTATTACTTGTTAATTAAAAATAGTGAAAAAATTGAAAACATCCATTTTCACAATTAAAGAAATTTAAGTTACTTCAATAAAAAAAATGGTACAGTGTGACAGGAAATATTGGGAGCAGGTACAGAGTATTAAGCTAAGTGCTTCCTTCATGGAAGACACATATTCTACACACTGACTAAAACTGAGCTTCCTGACATACTTCACTAGTCACACACATACACTGCCTTCTGAATGTATATACTTTTATAGTTTTCATTTTTGATCTTTTTATAGTTTTAGCCAAGATTTTTCTGGGCATACATTTAAACAGAATTGTTTAAATTATATTCCAGTTTTTGATTACTATTTATTAGCAGTTAGATCTCAAGGGGTATACCAAGAACTAAGTTAATAGGCAAAGAATAGACAGCGATATTCCCTATACAATCCTTCCTTTCCTCCTTCCTCCTATTCTTTCATTTAAAAGCATATTGTGTGTGCTTTATGTGATTGAAATTGTGTAAGGCAATGTAAATAGGAAAAAGAAACAGTGTTTGACTATGAAGAGCTCATTATCTAGAAAGAGATAGATCCAGGAACCAATGCTTATGCAACATTATACAGACAAGATGTAAGTACGGCATTACGAAGGCACAGAGAAGGATATGTAACTAAGCCTGAGCTGGTAATCTGACAGAAAGCTTCCTACATATAGGATTTATAGATGTATAGATTAAAGGACAAATAGGATTTAGTAAGATAGAGGTTATGCAAGTGAAGGAGAAAGGGGCATGTGTGGAGGGAAAAACCCCCAGAGCATGAGTACAGAAGTGGGAGTCAAGAAGAGTTAAAAAAAATGTGGTAGGTATAATAATGAGACAGTGGCATAGATGCCGCAGGAGATCAGGTCACAAGCAGAGTCAGTGAAAGGAGTGGGAAGAACATAGGAAGTACAGGGTAAAACAAGAGAATACCACAGTTTCCCATGAGTGAAAGAGACTAAAGCGTAATTGTAAGACTGGAGGCAAGGATACACATTGGCTGTAGCTGTTTGTGGTAACTAGAAAAACAGAGTTGTAGAGAAAACACAACACAACAAAACAAGACCACGCTGTTGAATGATATATACTTGAACTTGCAATAGTGAATTCTTCAGTCTAACAAAGAATTAGGTACCCAACTGACAAAACTGGTTCTGGATTAATTTTACATTGTTAAATGTAAAAAAAATGTAGAAAAGTCAGGAAACTCTTGAACATGAGAGGAGAACAAATCTCTCGAATTCCTTATTATCAACTTCATTAACCTTTCCCTTAACCACTTATAACTTGTAATGTATCTTAACACAACCCATACTTGTAAAGAAGCACAGTACCTTTTCTCCTTCTTCTAAGAGGCGCAGCAAAGTCGCATTGTCTGTTTTCTCTTCCTCTTCTATAGAGCTGCTCTCTGCAATCTGATCTTGTAGCTGGTCCTGGTTCTCCTCATCTCCTCCGTCAGGCGCAGATCGAGAACGTTTTAAAGGGGGCTTGACTAAACCTACAGCACAAAATCCAACAGGGCATATGATATTGTATGTGACAAGGGAGCAGCTGTGTAAGGGCACAGTATAGCCTTATAGAGTTTGGATGTGTCCCCCATAGGTCCACAGGTTAAAGGTTGGTCCTCAGTACTTTTTTTTTTTTTTTTTCTGGTTGATCATGGGGCTTGAACTCTGGGATTGGGCACTGTCCCTCAGCTCTTCAGCTCAAGGAAAGTGCTCTACTACTTGAGCCACAGCGCCACTTCTGGTTTTCTAGTGATTTATTGGAGATAAGAGTCTCACGGACTTTCCTGCCCGGGCTGGGTTTGAACCACGATCCTCAGATCTCAGCCTCCTGAGTAGCAAGGATTACAGGCGTGAGCCACCGGTGCCCAGCCCTTAGTACTTTTAAAAAGAGAAACCTATAAGAGGAAGGCAGGATATTAGAGGCATGGGCTTGAAGGAGATACTGAGTCCCTCAACTCTTTCCATCTCTCCCTCTGTCTTCTGATCACCATGAGATGGGCAACTCTTTGTGTCTCCTTGTGTTTTCTGCCATAGTTATTGACCCTCACAATGATGACTCTCACCATATCGAGACCTAGGAAATTGTACATTTACTTTTTACAAGTTGATTTCTCTCAGTTATCTGTCATAGAACAGAAAGTGAACCAACAGTCCTTCCAGTACATTTCCAATTTGAGAGAACCTAGAAGGTACAGGGGAGCCAAGTTTAGTGACTCGTAGCAAAGGGCTGAAAGTTAAACATTGTGTGACCTTAGTGAATTATTTTTTCTTTTTAAATCTTAGTTTTCTTACCTACAAAATTGGAATAAAAATACTATCTCCCTCAATTTTTTTTTTGCGAGAACCAAATGAGGTGATTCTTGTAAAGGTCTAACATGCTTAGTACACAGTAAATTCTCAGGACGTGTCAGCTCATGGTGGCAAATTGAGAGTTTAGCATAATTAGTAGTGAGAATTGTGCTGCCTGGAGATGAGTGTTATTAAGGGCATGTGTACTTTATAATAAAAAGCTACTGACACAAAAATACAGATAGCCAGTTCTAAGTTTGAGATCCTACTTACTTGTGCTCACAAAGACCATTCCAATCCTCATTTCACAAGCAGCAGTATAGGTTTTCAAACATGAGTGAATTTAGTCAGAACATAATGTCAAAAATAAAAGGAACAGATTTTTAGTAATATAGGTATCGGTAATTCATAGATTAAGGAAACATTTACTGCCTACATTTTTTTAACTTCATTAAAAAATCACAGCAGAAAAAATTACAGCCAGTTGGTGGCAATTACTAGAGAGGTCTCACAATACTATGTGGCCTTGAAATACATTCTAAATCACACCTTTTATTGAATTATCATTCCTTAGTTGTACCATGCAAGGTAACAGTATATATGCTGGGAATAGTTATTCTAAGTATCTTGGAAAAGTCAAATAAATCAACTGTTAAATATCTTATTTTCTTCATATTAGTTCACGTGAGAATTGTATTTATATATGAAAAAGTGTAATAACAAGTAAGGAAAGATAAAAATCCTGCTGAAAATATCCACAGTGAGGAAAGCTTCTAGGTACATTGCTTTTAGGTAAATCAATCAACTCTGTCTTGTGTAGCTAGCATCTGGTATATCCTAGCAGCCACATATCAGTGTTGGTAATTTCAACTCAATTAAGTGCAAATGACCTAAACTCAGTCATTCCCAAGATTCTCTGTGCCTTGGTTTATATCCAAGAACCATAGCTATGTACCCAATCTGATAAGTTTTCAGTGCAACTCCAAAAAGTTTTTTTTTTTTTTCTCCATGTATGTGCCAGTCATGGGGTTGGAACTCAGGGCCTGAATGCTGCCCTTGAGCTTTTTTGCTCAAGGCTAATGCTCTATCACTTGAGGCAAAGGCTTTTTGGTGGTTATTTGGAGATAAGCATCTCATGGACTTTCCTGCCCAGGCTGGCTTCGAGCCATAATCCTCAGATCTCAGCCTCCTGAGTAGCTAGGATATAGGTGTAAATCGTAGCACGTTCTAACCTCTGTTTATTCACAACAACTTTCATAGATTCTGTGAAGATGTTATGTCCATTATGAAATATTAAGCAAGTCATGATCATCATGAAAGAGAGAAGGAATGATTTCAACTTTAGGTATTGTTTTTTTATTGACATGGTCATACACTATTAGATTTTAAAACTATAGCATCAGAAACACAGTTTTAAATTTGATAATAATTAATGCTAAGTTTTTAAATCTAGCTTTTAAATTTAAGTCATCTCAAATACAGTGACAACAAGGGATAAATCATAATGGGTGGGGGGAGAAAACGAAAGATAAAAAGAAATAGCTTCACATCACTGTATTTGATTTTGGTACCCTGTGTCTTATATATACTTTTATCTGATTTGGGGAAGGGATGGGGAATAACAAAATGGTGAGACAAATGGTGAATCAATGCAAAAGAGATACTCACAAAACACTATGTTGGAAATGAACTTTACAGCTTGGTTGGGGGAATGAAGGGAGAAGGACATTGGGAGAAAACCGGGGGCGGGGTAACAACGTTAGACAAGAAATGTATTCACTAACTTACATATGTAATGGTAACCTTTCTGTACATCACACTGACAATAAAATTTAACAACAACAACAAAAGAATTAGCCTTCCAAAATAGAAGAATAAAAATCTAAGACATCTCATTAAGGGATTCTTAATGTACCTGTCAGGGCTTTATCTTCAGAAAATGTACAGGCCTTTTGAGTTTGTGGTCAAATCAAGAATTTTTATAAAGTTAAAACAAAAGACTGACTTGTTCAATATTGACTGAATTTTAACTTTGTCCTATGCATATGCCACAGCTATTAGGTGAAAAAAAAACATTTCTGCCTCTGAGGCAAACTCATAATTAAAAACAGAAGACCATCTAGCAGTGAAAAATCCCTGAAACTGCTAAAAGAGCTACAAGCTACATGCCATCATGGGCAGAGTCAAAGCTTCTTCAAGAAAGATGTCTGACATTTGATTTATGTCTTCCTGACTGAATCTAATCTGTTAAGAGAAAGACTATGGACAAGCTGTACAAAGAAGTAAAGAAGACCATTTTGGACTGAGGGCACAGAGGTATAAAATTACAGAATTAAAAAGCCCATGGTCGTTTCAGTCAAATTCATCATATATTAAGCCCCCCAAATTTAAGTTTAGAGTAACCTCTCATATAGTCCTAAGTAGAAAGACCTTATTTCATACTGTTGGTTAAAATGAATTAATGCCTGTGAAATAGTTTTAATTTCACTAGTATTTATTCAGTCATTAGGGACTCTGCCTAAAATACCCAGCACCACTGGGCATTGTGCCAAATGCCATAGAAAAAGTTAATAAGCAATGAGCACACGACTTTCATCTGTGCTCAATAAAGAAGAACCACTGGTACGGATGTCCATTAATCTTTAAGAAAAGTGGGATGGAGACACTTTTAGGCTGTCCCTACTGCTAACAACTTCTAATTTTCTCATATAAATTCACACAGGAATTGTTCCAAATGGATTTTTAACCAAAATTTAAGAGGAAGGCTGACCTTTGACCTTGGCAATGGTGTCCTCTCCATGCTCTGGCTCCTGCTGGGCAGCTTCACCTTCTGAACTCTCCACAATGGTGTCCTGGACAATAGCTGGATTGCCAGAGGCCAGGCGCATGTAGTATTCTTTACTGTCATAGCTTATGGCTCTTCTGTACCTGGCAGGTTTCTAAGAAATACCAAAAGAACATGACTCAGATAAATATCTCCAAGAATTGTAAGACAAGCTTTCTGAGGAGAGGTATGCTTCATGATTCTTTGTATTCCCTTTTTTTTGGGGGGGGGATGCATTTAATAGATGTATACATAGTTAATCTATAGACTTCTGGGTTGTTATAAAAATTTTAAGATTCTATTGGTTTTTTTGGAAAAAGTTATGTAGATAATATTAGTGATTTTTTTCATTTCCTCAAACAGAAATAACTAAACAAAAGTCTAGCCAAACAATATTTCTGGATGGGTACTGCCTGCCCCCACTGTGTATCAGAACACCTGCCCACAGAGGGCAGGAGAGAATGCCACTGTGGAGAGAGTGAGCTGCAAGAGACTGTTTGTGCAAGAGCTTGAAACTCTGCTTCTGTCTCAAGTAAAGTAAACAGATCAGGCTGGAAGTATCCATACACTTGGAATAACCTAGATTATATGTATACTTTCTCAATTGAAGGGAGACAATCAGAATTGCCCACTCTTTCCTATAGTCCCAGGTTTCACTGCCACTCAGGAAATGGAGAACACCTTCAGATACTTCTGAGACATGACCCAACCCAGAACCAAGTAAGTATCCCACTAGATGGCACCCTCAAGTGAACCCACTAGGAGGAGCTGCCATCTCTAGTTACCTAAAACATTCTTACTGTTCGGTACATAAAAGAATACAATGAAACTATAACTACGGGGTTACTGTGAGAGCAAATGTAAGTCTATTTTGAAGAAGAAATTAATTATCTAGAAATATAAGAAGTTTTAATGTTTTGGCATTTGATACTTTTTTTCCAGAATAGTTTTTATTCTAAATATAGGTTCTTTAATTGACCTATTTTTTTCTTACATTCATATATGATGAGAAGTTAAGGACTGAAATGATTTATAGAGGAAAAAGTTTATGTGCATGTTGATTCCCAAGATCAGAATTAAAACCAGATTGTATATTATACCTTAAGAAAAAGATGGTATCTGAGCATGCTATAAAGCTTTCCTCTTATATTTTACTTCTCCTTTCCTATAAATAGGAATACCTATTTAAAAATTCTATTATCTGAAGTCTTCAAATTCAAATAGTCAATATATAACATCTCCAATAATACTCATTTTGAACAATTACTCTCCTTCTAAAAACAATTGCCAACTAGGGCTGGGAAGGTGGCTCAGTGGAAGAGTGCTTGCCTTGCATGCATGAGGCCCTGGGTTCGATTCCTCAGCACCACATAAGCAAAAAGAAAAAAGCCGGAAGTGGTGTTGTGGCTCAAGTGGTAGAGCGCTAGCCTTGAGCTGAAGGACAGCGCCCAGGCCCAGAGTTCAGGCCCCACGACTAGACCCCCCAAAAAAAAAAAAAAAGAAAAGAAAAGAAAAATTGCCAACTAAAATGGAAAACAATTGTCTAACTAGGTGGAAGACAGAGACTGAAATATAAAACCAAATCCATATACAGCATCTACCTGAAGCCACAGTTTTTGTTTTAACTGCAGCTGTGGGGCTAGGGAATTAGAGCAAACCAAGGAAAGGTATGTGACAAATGAATAAATATTTCATGACATTGATAAGTGTCAAAATGATGAAACAGTAGTAGTTAAGGGAGGATCAAGCTAGGAAGAACACTGCAATATATTTTTTATACCGAAAGGTAATAAACTTTGTACCCTAACAGTTTTGTATGACATCTGAAATCATCTTCAACTCAAAGTTGCTAATGTTAAAGATGGTGATGACGAAGTTAGTGATGGGCAAGACCATGAACAAATAGATAAGGAATGATGGCTATTCTGTACTGATTTTACACACAGATTTAAATTTAAATGGCAATAACTTTTTCCCAAAACTATATGCACTGAATTATATGCATATATTTCTATGTCTCTACTGAATTATCTTTCTGGAAACCTAAAAATTATATATTTTTATACCAATTAAAGAAAATTAGAGGTGATCATATATTCTTAGTTTCCATTAGTTCCTTCTGACTGGAACACATTTTTTTTTTTTTTTTTTTGGTTGGTTGTTGGGGCTTGAACTCTGGGCCTGGGCACTGTCCTTGAGCTCTTCAACTCAAGGTGAGTGCTCTATCACTTAAGCCACGGCAACACTTCTGGTTTTCTGGTGAGACAGGAGTCTCACGGACTTTCCTGCCTGGGCTGGCTTTGAACCGTGATCCTCAGATCTCAGCCCCCTGAGTAGCTAGGACCACAGGTGTGAGCTACCGGTGCTCGGCTGAAAACACAATTTTAAAGAGGTTTTCATTCTCAAAACATCTAAAAGAATTAAATGAATTGAAAAACAAAGCTGAAGAGCCAGTCTGCCCATCACCAACGTGCCTCATAATTGTTAGTTCTGCACGAAGCAGGGTAAGTTTGACAGTGAGGGCAGTGGATACGCAGCTTGTTAGTGAGCAGCACAGGAACCCTGCAAGTGGCTAACTAAAAACAGCAGAGTGGGATGTCACCATGTGAATGACACCAACTTCTCAACTCTAAGCAACTTACAGAAGAACAAATCGAAAGCCAACCTTTTACGTTAGTCTAGTCTACCATGCACTAAAAACAACAACAAAAACAAACAAAGGAAAAACTGCAGGGAGTTTGCATTCTTTTGTGGTAACTTGTGCTTTACCTTTTGAGGAATGGTATCATCGGGAGTCTCGGGCTGTTTACTTGGGATCTCAGACTGAAAACAGGGTATTAAGTATAGACATATCAGAAAAGAAAACATAAAGAACACAAAAATAAAATTTTTTGAGGACTGTATGAAATAAGAATGACATACTACTCAAAGGAATTTTAACAATGACATCTGCAGCTGCTTAAACTGGTAGTTCACAAGATAATCTCTCTTATGATCAAAACAGTCTTAGATAAACTTAAAAATAGCAAAATCTTAGAGCTACTGAATAGGACAAGCTCTCAAACACCTCACTGATGAGCAAAGTGGTCACTGCCATGGGTAATTTATGGGCAATTCTATATGGTGTCACACCTGGTGACTAGAACCTAACGCTAGATACTATCTTCCATCTTCTTTCTTTGTACATATCCCAGATTTGTGCTAGAATTAGAGCAATTATGTGTTTTTAAACTGTCATCTATAGTAAGTCCTACAAGATAAAAGCACTGAGGGCCTACTGGCTGGAAGACTATCCTGCCATAATAACCCAAGCATCTATTCCCTTCATTACCTTTATAGACACCATTCCAGAAAGGCTGAAAGCAGAAGAAAGCTTTGATCATTAACCTCTAAATCAGAAGCTTTCTGAAGAAATGATTTTAAAGAACTAGGTCATCACTTCATTACCAAGAAGGCAGTTTCTGCTGAGCTGTAGTGTGACTAAGCACACAGATAGCTACAGAGAGACAATGCAGCCAGGAACAATTCCTAGCTTTTCTTCCTTTTCATGGTTTGTGTTGTGAAGATGACTTCTAGTACCTTTCTCTACCATAAACGTAAGTAGGCAAAATGTATTCCCAAATACTTTCTTCCTTTGGTAAAAGAGATGCTGTACTACTAAGATACTATCAAATACTCTGTGGTTTAGTTCAATCTTTTGCTTTAAAATCAAACATGTATGCATTATATTGTAGAATAATCTTTAACATATATAGCAACCTTTTCTAACTTGGTAGGGTATTATATACATATTTTAAGACAGACTGAATGGAACACAATATAATAAAAGTATTTTAAAAGCAAAAAGGTCATAAAGTTCAACACTGAAAAGAAAGGGGATGATGAGAGTGTATAACTCAGGGTCAGGTTTGACCTCCAGGTCCTCCAGTCTCCACAAAACCAATGGTGTACTTAAGATTCATATATATCAGTAAATATAAAATTACCTTATAACTAAGAACACTAAATACTAATTAATAGTATGCATGGAGTAGTTTGACATTTTACTCAGGTTTAAATTTATTTAAAAAAAGAACATAAATTGCTAGAACATCATTAATACAATATACTCTTCTCAAAGCTAACTTTGACATTTACCCCATGTTCTACTACAAAGCCCCCACCTGAGTGTGAGTGCCCACAATGCACTGTTACTTTCCCTTGCTCGGGGCATGGCGGGGCTTTGCTCAAATCTGCCCATCAACTAAGAATCTTCCTTTACTATACCGTCTAGCTTTCTACAACAAAAAATAAGTGTTCTACCAACAATATTTGCCCTTTTTATTTACAATTAATTTAATTTGAAAATATATTTATACAGAAATCTAAACTCTTCAAAGCCAGAATTTCTAGAAAGCACTTTTATAGTCATTTTCTTTAATTTTTCTATGGTGTATTAACAGTAGCAGTGAAATTTCCCAAGGGGCTTATTTTCTATGAGTCTTAGGATATTTGTATATTATATAAAAATATAGCCACAGGCAACCACAAGACACTCCTTTAGTTCAAAAAGGAACCTTAAAATGTAAATTAGTTTCCTGCCTCTGATCAGCCCCAACTAATAGGTAGACAGCCAACCCTTTATATCAATAATCTTTGCAATGAACAGCAAATTTGTTTGAGAGTATTAACTTGTAAAAAAGAAAATACTACAAAATCAAAACCTTAGAATGTCTCATTTTCATTCTTTAGGACTCAAAGGAATGAGAGAATTGTTTTAAAACCCTGTAGTTTTACATTCTCATCATAATGTAAGCTTCCTTTATAACACTATGACTGACCTTTCCTGCCACCTGAAGAACAACAGTGCAATGCAACATAGACACTGTAATTACAAAAATTACCCTCTGGTCCCCAGGAGAATACTGTGCAGACAGTATAAACAATTTTCATGTGACAACTCAGAATCTCCTACATGTGCTTAGTTTCTTTCAGGACATTAATAATTCTTATTACCAGTTCTTTGTATTAAAATTTTTAGTAGATATAATTTTAAAATTTTAAAAGTGCAGCAATGAACTCCACCAAAATGTTTTTATGTTCTACACACTTCAAATTTGAAGTCAAGAAATAAAGTCCAAAACTTAAAAAAAAAGGCAAAGTTCTTTTATATACTGTGTAATATTAGAAAATTAGAGAAACAATACTATACTAATGAAAGAGATAATCACCCCATTTATTTCTAACACATCAGGGATTTCAAAAGAAAGAATTAACTTTTTAATCATGACTCTATTCTTCAGTATCAGTGACTTTAAATAGAAAGATCAATGTTACTTAGAAACAATAACTATCCTTAATAAAAAGATAAAAGATTCAATCACTTGCCCTTGCCCCAGGAAAGCCTGTCTTGCACAGCAACGCTCAGGTTGGTGCATACCTGCTACACTGCCAGAGTGACACTGCTACCTAATACTACGTGTGTGAGGAGAGCAGAAGGGCCGAACTCATGGGAGTGACACCAGGAGGAAAGAGTTAGGGCAGGGGAAGATTTAACATGAGGGTAGTGACGCCTAAGCCTCAGGGCCCGTGGCCTCTCACCCGGCCCTTCCAAAACTCTGCCCTAAATGTTTATTTGTAATTTTGTACTTTTTTTTTAATGTCTGAGACTTGAGACTTGGACTCCACTTGGTACCTGATGCTTTCATTCATTGGCACTCTAACCGAGCCATGTTTTCAACCACTGTACTCTAAAAGGCCCTCTTCTAAACAGTGTAAACACCCAGGTCCAGAAAATCTGGCAATGGCCGCTTTTACTAGAAAAATTTCGAAATCAATTCTACACAATCTTGAACTGGAAGAAGTGACAAAAAGGTCTCTAATTTAGGGCAGAGCATGTGGGTGGTCTATTCAATGAACATGAAGCACAGACACTGGCAGCATGAGAGACAGAGCTGACATGGGTTCTGTTTGGAACATTCTCACTGGCTGTGGATAATTCTACAAAGCAGGCAAATACCAGAGTCATTTGTTAAGGTCACTCCGCTCCTAAGGGGTTGATGACTCAAGCTGGACTTCACTACTTAATCCCTGCAACCTGAAAGCCTTTCTTAGCTTTTCCAGGTTTCCTTCTCTGTAAAATGGGGATAACAGTCTTAAATGAGTTTTAGGGGTTATTGTGAGACTTAGAGGAAACTACATGTAAACTGTTCTGCAGAACATTTAGCTCACTATGCTTTGCAAACATGGTCACTCATTGCTCAATAACAGGGACTTAGTCTGAGCTAATGTCATTGGGTAAGAACAGGATAGAGAGCTCTGTGTACACTAAGATGGTTATGAAATCAGGTGACCTTCTCTTCTCTTCTGAAACCTCTGTGGTAAAAGGGCCATTATTGACTGAAATACTGTCAAGTGGCATAAAACTGTATTTTTCACTGATTTCATGGTGAAAGTTTATCAACAGCAGCTACTTCTATCCTTTTGAAAATTTTTTTCAACACTGCCAGATTTTCAAGTTTTAAAAGGTCAAAATGAGTGTTTAATGACTTCACAGGTACAAACAATTGTGAGCTATCAAAACAAAGGAAAGATTATTCATTTAGAGATTTTGATTATTCATTCACTATGAACTATGTAGCATAAAATTGTGTCCCCTTCCTGCCTGCTCTTTGCTTTCATATAGTAAATGTATCTCCAACATTTCTTATCTGCCTAAAACTTCCTGTCAAAAAACAAGTTCCACTTGCTATGCATTTGTTAGGAGTGCTTGCTTAGATTTCATGGGCTGCTGATCAGGTAAAATGCTAATAATATTGAAAGTTAGATGTAACCCATTTCATGAACAGTTTGCTGTTTCTATCTGATATAGTGAGTTGTTTCCTGTGTAGGAGAGAATATTTAATAGCTTAGTATTTATATTCTTAGATGAATTCAATCTAAATGAGTGCTAATTCAAAAGAATTTTTTTATCAAGTTGCTGCAGACTAATTCTTTTCTCATTTTGTTTTTTGGAGCAAGGTCCTGCTATATAGCCTAGTTTGGCCTCAAACTTGAATGATACGCACCCTATGCCTGGCTCAGCTTAAATTCATAAGAAATTTGAGGAAAAACAATAAACTGAAGATTGTACTGCTACTTTGCTGTTATTATAAAGTAGGTAGTAGTAAAAGGCTACAAAAATGCAGGTGGATATGTTGCTATGTTAGAAATTATAGTGCCGTAAAGCACAGCTACAGGAAGTCTGGTCTTGATAGAACTGAACAGCTTTGAGAAAAAGTAGACTTTATGGAGCTATCTTCAAAACTCTTTACCATTGGGGCTGGGAATGTGGCTTAGCGGTAGAGTGTTTGCCTAGCATGCTTGAAGCCCTGGGTTCAATTCCCCAGTACCACATAAACAGAAAAAGGCAGAAGTGGAGCTGTGGCTCAAAGTGGTAGGGTAATGGCCTTTAGCCAAAGAAGCTCAGGAACAGTGCCCAAGCCCTGAGGTTCAAGCCCCAGGGCTGGCAAAAGAAAAAAACAATCTTTACTATATACCATTGGTTGAGGACCAATATTCCTTTAAAAAGTATTATAAATTGAGAAATTATATAATATATAGGGAATACAAAGTGAAGTTCTATGTACGGAATAGGATTCAATGATTAAATCAAGCTAATTAATATATTTCTTCCCTCAAGTAGTTATTACTCTTTGCAGTGAGTGAGGAAACTTACTATTAACAATTTTAGAATATGCAATGCATTTCTATTCCCTATCATTTCTATGTTGCACAACAACATGTCTAACAAAACTTTGTACTATTTAACATTCCAAATTCCTTGGTAATGACTCCATGTTCTTACTTCTGTGCGATCTGTTATTTTAGTGTCCACATTAAGCACAACATCGTGGCATTTCCCTTTCTGAGCCTGGCTTATTTCACTTAGTAAGTATACCCTTCTGGTTCATTCAGTTTGACAAACGATAGCATTTCTTCCTTTCATAGGCTGAATAGAATTCCACAGGATATAGCAGCATCTTTCTCTGACCTCTTCTTCCACTGCTAGACACCCAAATTGATCCCAAGACCTGCATTCTAAGTAGCACAAGATCAGAGATTGCAAACAGTGAGGAAATGAAAAAACAGAGTCAGAGTTTTGGCATTGGCCTTGGGGGAGAGAAGGATTAGGTGTCTACTCTTCATAAGATATTATTCTAAGCACCTTACTAACTTTAATCCTCCAAACAGCCAGGTGCGGTGGAATTACTATTTTCCTCAAAAAGAAACATAAGCCTAAAAAGGGTCCATCACCTAAAGAAACCCCAGACCTTTACGTGGCATTGCCAGGTTTTGAAACGGGCCAGTGTGTTCCAAACTGCACCCTGCTGTTGCCCCGCAACACTGCTACATTCCTCCACCAGCAGCTTAGCATTACCAATTTGATATAGCTCACCAAACTTGCTCACAATGAAAAAATGTACACAAAGACCTGAAGAGGTAGTATCAACATTCCGTTCTGCATACTCACCGCCACGTTTGTCTCTTGCTCTGTTTCTGGCACGTAAGGATAATGGTTATAAAACATGTCATTTCGCACCATTTTTTTCCTCATTCTGCAGGGCCCTTCTGTCATCTCCAACATCCACTTGTCTAGATGGGAACCAATGGGGGGGCCCCATAGCCCTCGTTCCCTCAGCAGCTCACACTCAATTTGGCACCATTCCTCTGTCACGTACTTCAGGGCATTCTGCTGACGCTGGTAGCGAAGAGACAAGTTGGTTTTCAAGTAAAAACATTAGTACTAATTAAAAGCATCCAAATAAAACCATGTTATTATTGGAAACAAACCCAATCCAGATCATTTCAATCAATATTATTCAAATAAAATGATATTTTATTTATGGTTAGAGAAAGCTAGTGAAGAATTCTGGGGGCTGGGAAGGTGGCTCAGTGGTAGAGCACTTGCCTTGCATGCTGAGGCCCTGGGTTTGATTCCCCAGCACCACATAAGCAAAAAGAAAAAAAGCCGGAAGTGGCGCTGTGGCTCAAGTGGTTGAGTGCTAGACTTGAGCTGAAAAGCTGAGGGACAGTGCCCAGGCCCAGAGTTCAGGCCCCACGACCGGACCTCCCCTCACTCCCCCCAAAAAAAAGAAGTGAAGAATTCTGTAACCTAAGGAGGTGATATTTTGGTACCAAGTAAGTGACAACTATGTACAAGGCAATGTACACAAAACAGCTGAACAGAGCCAAAAGAATTTTTTTAATGATACAGGAAGGATGGTAATATTACTTATGAAAATAAACTGAAAACTACAGAGCTTGTGCATGGCAAAGAGCATAGCTAGCAAGATCAATAGAAAGCCTACGGACTGGGACAAGATCTTCAGTAGCCATACTGAAGACAAGGGCCTCGTATCTAAAATATACTTAGAGCTCAAAAAATTAAATAAAAAAAATTAAATCCCCCAACAACAAATCCTCAAAGAAACAACCTCCCCATTAATAAGTGGGCTATAGACTTAAAGAGAAACTTTTCTGAAGAGGAAATAAGAATAGCCAACAGACACATGAAGAAATGCTCAACTTCTCTAGCCATAAAAGAAATGCAAATCAAAACAACATTGAGATTCCACCTCACCCCACTTAGAATGGCTAGAATCAAGAAATTTAGTTAACAACAGATGCTGGAGGGGATGTGGCCAAAGGGGAACCCTACTGCATTGTTGGTGGGAGTGTAAACTTGTTTAACCACTTTGGAAAGTACCTCAAAAGACTCCACATAGAGCTCTCCTAATCCCCAGCAATTCCACTTTTGGTCATTTACCAAACAATCACAAACAAGACCATACTAAAGCTACCAGCACAACTATGTTTACCGTAGCATTATTTACCATAGCTAAGATATGGAACCAACCTAGATGCTCCTCAGTAGATGAAGAAAATGTGGATCAAGAAAATGTCACACACACACACACACGCACACACACGAATCACACACACACACACACACACACACACACACACACACGAATTCTATGTTTCCATCAAAAAGAATGACACTGCCCCATTTGTTAGGAAATGGAGACTTGGAAAAAAATTATGTTAAGTGAAATTAGCCAGACCCAAAGAAACATAGGTCCCATGGTTTTCCTTATTTGCAGTAACTAGTATATGTCTACGACAAGCAGAAAAGGTCAAGAGCTATGTACATAATGCCATATGAGATGATGCTAAGTGAAATGAACTCCAAGATAGGGACACAAGAGGTTTTTATTTTTGTTGCTGTTGTTTTAAATATACTTATAATGCACTATGTGCTTTCTTTGTTTCTTTTGTATGTTCTTTCCCCATGGTATAACCCTTGTTTTCACTGTATTTGATTCTGGTTCCCTGAATCTTGTATATACATTTTTCTAATTTGGGGAGGGGAAGGGAAATAACAAAATGCTTAATCAAGGATACAGGTTGACCCATTGTTAGCAATGAGACGTACAAGACACTATGTTGAAAATGAACTTTACAACTTCGGGGCAGGCGGGGAGGGAAGAGATGGTAGAAAGGATAGGTAACAATGCTGGATAGGAAATGTACTCGTTACCTTACTCATGTAACTGTAACCCCTCTGTACAGTATCTTTACAATAAAATATTTATTAAAAAAGAAAATATATTGAAATGGTTACTCCCATAAATTAATGAACTCTGATTTCCAAAACTGTACAACAGTTATTTAGCCATATATTAGGGAAAATCAGATCAGAAATAGTGCCATCAGTGATTACTGATAAACTTGTTAAGCACTTCTAAAAATTTTAGAAAAAGAATGTAAACATTGTGATGGTTAGTCTTGATTGTCACTTTGATTGGATTCAGAGACACCCTAGAAGATTATTAAAGCACAGTTCTCAGCATGTCTCTGAGGGCATTTAGTCAATGGCTTAATCCATTGATGGATTCCAAATTTTAATCAGGCTATTGCCAAGTGGTAAACTGTGGAAGAAAGACCTAATTTGAGGATGGGTTGTGGAGGGTATGCCTTTAAAGGGTGAACCTGGGCCCTGGCTACTTTTTGTTATTGCTCTCTCCTTAGCTGACTTAATATGAGAAGTTCTGCTCTATTATACCCTCTCTATGACTGAAGTTCTGATTCACAAGCCCACAATGATGAGACCATGGACAGAGGGACTAAACTTCTAAAATAATAAGCCCAAATAAATCTTTCCTCCTTTAAATTTGCTTTATAGAAGTCTGATTAATATAAACTGCAAGCACTGATAGAAATTATTTGACTCCCGCTAACTGCTTGCTCTCTGCCAAATGACAAAATAAACATTCCTGTAGTAAACGGATGCAACAAACTTACTGGTAATTACTATGATTCATGGACTGTAAGCATACAATTTGAACCTAAAAATAAAGAACCTTTGGAACAAATACTAGTTAAGATTATCCAGTGAATAATCATGAAATTACATTTGATAGTAATATGTATATGTTTCTTTCTGTATAAACCCTGTAACAATGAGGGTTTTAGTAATAAACCCATAATATTAACAGTTAATCATTCAGAAAGGTTTAACAGGTCTAAAATAGATACTTTGGAAATATTTAGAGTAATTATGAACATACCATGAGGATTACATTGCATTTGCTTCACAAGATAAAAGCAGAATTATTTTTATTTGTAATTACTTTACAATGAATATTACTTATAATATTTATAATAATTAACAGACTTCTTAGAGACTTTAAGATTTTCATAATCTGTTTGTTAAGGGTCTGAAAGGCAGGGACTATTCTTAGGTTATTAATTTTTATTAGGAGCAAAGCATGTAATATGTCAATGATAAATGTCAACAATATTCAACTGTGGTGACTTCCAATGTATTTTTTTCCAACTCAGTTTGCTTATAGAAAATGTAATTTTTTCTATCTTAACTCCAATGGCCAAAGCAGATGATAGCAGGGATATCACTCATCCTATGAGCATAAATGCCAATCATCAACCTACTCTTCAAACAAATAGAAAACCACCAGTACAAAAGAGTCTTGAAAGCTATGATAGCTAACAGGCAAGGAATGCAATATACAATATTGTTAGGTATATGAATTCTTACCTCTTGATACTCCTTATATTGTGTGTCTACTAGGTCACGAACAACAGCAATATGTGTAAACATCCACTGAGAAATCTCCTAACAATGAATAGTAAAAGAATCTTAATATTTCATGAATTTTCAAGAAAAAATGAGTTAACTAGACTTCAAATTAACGCTTAACAATCATTTAAAATTCTGCCACATGTGTATATAGCAGGAAACAAAAGCCCCCCCCCAAAAAAAAAGCCAGGATGAGTTATATGACTCAATGAGGATTGTGTGAAGAACACATATCTATATTCTCCCACCCCAGTGCTGTCCCAGCTTCTGGAACACTGCCAGCACCGTCAGAGATGGCCTCAGCTTCGTCGAGTGGCCAGAGTGCCCCACTGTCCTCATAATGCAATGTTATCATAATAAACGAGAGAACTTCCTGGAAATGTAGGAAGCACTTCAACCTTTCTTCTGATACAAAAAACTCCAAACCTTCTGGTTGTACATGTTAATAGTATGATACAAGACACTATAACTAAACCTTGAAATAAAAATTCCCATTACCATCAATGAAACCAGAGAAGGTACCTGGGTGGAAAGACTGTGTTTATTAAGACCACTTTCCTTTCGATTCCTTCTTGATCCTGTTAACTTGGAAAGACCAAAGCCACTGCTGACACGGGACAGTTTGGATTGTGTGGTAGGCACTAAGGCTTCTCCTCGACTTACGCATTTCTTTTCGTGGGCTAAAGAATGAAGATTAGATTATTTTATACTTTCACCGTGTACTTATTTATTTTTACTTTTTTATTTTCTAAATTCTAAATTTTCTAAGCCTTCAAAAGGTTGAACTAAAGGATTACAATTTAACATGTCTATCTAAGGGTTCTCAGTGATTCTTGATGTCAGAGTCGACCCTTTCATTTCTTTCCCTCAACCCATTTCTTCTACCTCTGGATTCATTTCACAATTTCCCACTTCCTTGATGACATGTGTACAATAAATACTTGGCTGTGTTTGTCTCCTGTTCCTGTTTTTAATAATTCACCCTCCCTCCATGAGCTACCCTCTCTACAATCTCATAGTCTTACTTTTAATACTCTTGCATTATGGCTACAATCCACAATCTAGTATTACAGCTGCCAACCATTATCTGCTTTGTTTTTTTTTTCACTAAATGAAATCAGGAATCAAGATATTTTGAAGCCCATATTCAATGTGGTAGTTCTGTTATAATGATTCTACTCTATTCCTACTTATTTTAAATATCTCAGCATGCCTGAATTGTACATTAAAAATCATCACTGGTACATAAGTACAGGATGTAGCAGCATATATAGGAGCTGGTCCTGTGTAATTTTAGGCATTCACTACAGGTAGGCCTTGGAGATGTATCCCCAGCAGATAAAGAGACTGTGTTAAAAAATTGCACATATTAAGCCAAATGCTGGTGGCTCATGCCTGAAATCCTAACTACTCAGAAAGCTGAGATCTGAGGATTATGATCCAAAGCCAGCCTGGGCAGGGAAGCCCATGAGACTATTAAAACCACCAGAAAACTAGAAGTGGCGCTGTGGCTTAAGTGGTAGAGTGCAAGCCTTGAGCTGAAGAGCTTAGGGACAGTGCCCAGGCCCAGAGTTCAAGCCCCATGGCCGACCAAAAAATTAAATATATATATATATATATATATATATATTGCACATATTATAGATATAAATAATCCTTCTAGGTGTCAAAAATTTATTCGCAGGCAATTTGTTAAGGATGACTGCGTGAGAATTATTGTATTAACTTTGCTTTGGTCAAAGTATCACAACTCTTCAATATAAGCAAATTTATTGAAATGGAGTTTCTATGTTAATAAATATCTTTATAATCCCTCATTCAGAACCTTTTTTGCTAGGCATATCTTGGATTTTCAAAAGTCTATGCATTATATACACTATTCATTATAGAATACCAGTAGAGTGTCTAGAAGAGCAAGCCATATTTTACCACATTGTACTACCATAACAAAATGTGTGCATATTTGTACCAAATATGATAAAGAGAAATGAATTTTGGTACCAACTGATATTTAGTGCCAAATCAATGAGAAAAATCTTAAGTTTTCAGGCTTTTCAAATTTCAGAGCTATAGATTTAAGACTGTAAACCTGTAACTAAGGCAATGACCATGTTAAAGGTGTGAGCAATGCATTATTTTCTACACTTTTAAGTCCCTTGTGTGTAATATACACTGCAGCTAAAATAGAAAAGCATAAGCAGGAACGTCCACTCTCAGTACAAACCACCCAGAATGGTTGTGCTGTATTTTTCTATCAGCTCCTCTCCTCTATATGTTTTAATTACATATCTAGGATGATGGCTGGGCACCACTGTAGGCCTCCTTACCCAAGTGATTCTGCCAGCATTTCAAACCAGCTTCTTCAATGAGTGGTCGGGCTATGGCTATGTCCACATGGCCCCTGTCATTTACAGGCAGAGTCACTTTGAAAAGCTCCTCCAGGACTTGTTTCTTACTATGAATCAGTTCAGTCCAAACTCTATTGACAGCCTTTATGAGCAGCTGACGCCCTAGAAAATGAAAAGAGCAGGTAAATGATCAAATCACAAAACAAAGTTTTTCTTATTTTTCATGTTTTATGTCTAGGAACTTTAACAACGGAATTTAATTGTTGTAAAAAATGCCCAAATTATATTCAGCTCTGTGAAAAGGATTATGTAGACAATCCAAATTTAGGTTTCCAAGCAGTTGGATATCTAGGAAACATTTAAAAAAATCTTTGTATTCATGTAGAAATACCAAATTTTTATTTATAAAATAGGAAACTATATGCATGATTTAATCATCTAGCAACTTCTAGGAAGAATTTCCTCCACCTCAATCCCAGGGGCTAGTATATTGCCATCTGTGAGAGTCAAGCACCTTCAGCCCCTTAAAAGGAAGTTTTAGATATGAATATTTAAGTGGAGCTTGAAATTATATTAGTTGTTTTTTTTGGTATTTTACAATACAAAAGAGATTATAAATTTAAAATATAGTCTTTTGGATGCCTTGCTAACTGGTCTGACTCTTGGAAAGCAAGCATCAGAATCACTGGGAGGGATTGCTTATCATCATAGACCCCCAGTGCCAGCACCAGAGTTTCTGATTCAATAGACCTGAGTGGAGCCAAATAATCTGCTTTTCTACCAAGATCCCTGGTGATACTGATGGTATTGGAGGCATGGCTAAAGGGTAGAGCACCAGCTGTGAGCAAGAAAGGTAAATGAGAGTACTAGGCCTTGAATTTAAGCCCTGGAGACTAGGGGGGAAAACCTGTGGACGAATGATACTGATGGGGAGCAACAACCTAGACTGTTGAGTTCCATCAATTGTGAGAATACTCACAATATTCTCTCCAGTATGGGGTTCAAGAAATTTTTGTAGAGAAGTGAATAAATAATTGCTTAAATGAATGAAAAAAAGACAGAATGCCAAATTGCCACATGGTATTCCTGGGAGACAAACACTACTATAGTGATTTCAGCTTTAGCTCTGAATGAATGGAAATAAAACAATATACATGAAGATTTCAATGTGTAGTGCTTACAGGATTAACAGGAAATGGATCTTTAAAAAGAGAATAAAATGAGACTACTGACAACCTGCCTCAAGTACTAACTGCCTCAGGCAATTCTTTTACAGACAATGTCAACTCTTTGTAAATCCTATCACATCTACCGGTATTACTATGAAACATTACTAATTTTTTTTTTTGGTCGGTTGTGGGGCCTGAACTCAGGGCCTGGGTGCTGCCCCTGAACTCTTTTGCTCAAGGCTAGCATTCTACCACTTTGAGCCACAGCTGCACTTCCTCATGACTCATTTTGTATTCTTTGTGAGCCAGTGGCATGTGCAAACTGCCCTGCTGGGAGAATAGTTGCAATATTCGTGGATTTTGAAGTCCTGGTTTTGGTTGTATATTAAAAATTAGAGATGAAAAGCAACAACACAATATCCAAAATGAGTGAGAGAATTTTACCTTCACTAATATCTTGGCTGTAACCACCATCTGGTTCAATGTCAGAGGGGATCATAATGTGCCATGTGGTCATGCGGGCTTCTGCTTCCAATCCAAATCCATCCACGTTGCTGAAAATTTCAAGTCAGAGGGAAAATGCTTACTACTGAACTATAACTGAATTTCTCTGCAGACACATAGGAACACTAGCTCTATCACAAAGCTGCATGATTGGCAGACAAGATTCATAAAACTTCTAGTTTACCACAAAGATGTTATTTTTAAGAGTGATCTCAAAATTCACTTGCTTAAATATAATCAAACTAATACGCAGAATCAAGATTTTCATCTTGATATCTAAGATGCTGTTAGAGTGTTGTTAACATTTTAAGATCAAAACTATAAAAAGAGCACTCTCCTGGTATGCCTGTGTCCTTTTCCTGTGTTTGTGGGTTCCCTATTTTGCATGCTCTTCCTCCGTCTGGGCAGTAACACAGATAGCTCTTTCTCTCTGGCGCATCTGTCCCCATTCTCCTGTCCTCTCAGGTGGAAGAAGACAGGAGACACAGGAAAGCCAGGTTTCAGGTTGCCCCTCAACAGCCCCAGACCACTTCCACAGGAGCTCCCCCAAGATGTGCTTCCAAAGCACTGGGCTGCTTCTGTCAGAGCTCTCCATGTAGTACATTGCCCTTGGTTACCTATGTTCCCTTCAGGAAGGCAACCAAAATCTATTTTTCATTTTATTCTAGCCACCAATCCAATGACTGGCCGTTACCAGACACTGAGGATCTATCTGCATAGATAGATCAAAACAAAAAATAGAAAAATATTCATGTTTCCCATTTCTCACACAGCACTGAACTTTCCTTTTTCACTTTTCTAGACTTCCAACAATGTATACTTTATTTGCCTTAACAACAAATTCCTTTTTAAAAAATTATGAGTGACATACAGTAATTATAGGAAAATATAGATGCAAAAAAGTAAAGGAAAAAGATGCTTCATACTGCAAAAGAAGGCAACATTTGCTCTTTATCTTTTGCATAAAGTAATAGAACAGATGAAAGGAATAATAAATATTATCAAAAGTTGTATAAGTATAAAAAACAAATTCAACAGGCAAGATATACCTTCCAACATGTAGATTAATCAAGCAGTGAGCAAGACAGCTAATGAATTCTTGGTCATGGTTTCCAGGTCCCAGGATCAAGTTCCTATTTACAGTAAGGACCCTGAGCGAATCAAGGAGAGCTACTTGCTGAGGAACAGTTTTGTGTGCCCGTGAGAACTGATACAAGATGGTCCTGTTGAGGCAGTGATAAACCGCATCCAGCGACAATCCCTGTGACCTTCTCTTTGACTAAAGACATGAAAAATATATTTTTAGAAAAATGGACAAAAAATAGAAGACCTGCTTGCTTATCATCCATACATGACCTTTGATAGTAATGCCACACTAGGTATTAGAGATGTTAACAGGTACTAGAGCTCTTGCTATTATAGATTCAGAACTCATGAGACCCTCAAGTAAAATCTAAAGAAGAGACTCCTGTGTAACAGAACTCATGGAAAAAGCCATTAACACTCCTTGCTGGCACAAAATATATCAAGTGTCATCTAGGTGGAAGTTTCTACCAAGTACATTTTTGATCACTATACAAAACTGGTGATACAAATTAAATAAAATTTCAGAGAAAAGAAGACTGTCAATAATGGCTATCACTTTAGCCATGCCTCCAGTGCCAAGTAAAAAAAAAACTTTGATGGTCTAGTTTCATTGCCTCACCTTGGCTAAACAATGGATCTCTTTCTCCTTTCTCTATCACACACACACACACACACACACGCACGCACACACGCACGCATGCATGCCAAACAGATACACCTTTCACACCTGGGAAGCTAGAACCTCCATGTGTTAGACAAGCTGTCTACCATTAGAGCCATATCCTTTGTCATTTTGTTTGTATTTTTATTTTTGAGATAGGGTTTCACTGAATGATCTTAGTACTTCCACCTTTGTAACAGCTGGGATTATAGGCATGTACTTCCACGACAATCCAGATATATCTCTTAAAGGATTACTAGATGAATAAAGAGAACTTGTGTGCTTGCATTTAGTGCTAACAGAATACAATTTTGGTATTTTCTACTTCTTTTTTTTTATTGTGAGAATACCATATAGAGGGGTTACAATTACATGGGCAAGATAATGAGTACATTTCTTATCAAGCATTGTTGCCTCCTCTTTGTTTCCCCTTGGTATTTTCTACTTCTACCATCATATGGTGAATAAGATTAATCACTTGTGTCAAACCAGACTAATCTTTCTTATTCAAAAATGCACAAGAAAAATAATGAGAAACAGAGACTACTATGGACTTTATAAAGTTTCAACTGACAAGAGAATATTTCCTCAGTATCAACTTTTCATGAAGTCTTTACAAACTGAAGTACTACTTGGTAAAAACATCAGATTCTATCAATCGGAATACTCTGTATCAAACTGCATTAATATTTATTGAGCTGTATTAATTTAATTGCATCTGGCACACAAACAGCAATGTCAGTAAGAGAAGGACCACAGCTTAAGAGAACTAGAGAACTTACTAGTTGGCACAGGCTATTGACAAAAAGGAAGGGGTCAAAAGTATATTTCTTATCTACTTTTAATACGTTTAGCCTTATATTAAATGTTAATATTATTGTCTTATTAGTTATACTTATTTCCAACAATTTTGACAGCAGAGGACTATTTTTTCAAAAGGAAAACATGTATTCTACAACTAAGAGTGATGATGGATTACCTGTGCAATTAGTTGAATTATAAAATCTATAAGAAGTTTAGATTCTTTGTTGAACATGCCTTGCCAAAGCTTGTCCACCACACGTTGCGTGAAATAAAACACATTGTTCACCAATACCTGGTAGCTTCCTCCACTTGTAATAGGCAGAGATGCATCTTCCCCTAAATTCCAGCAGGAAAAAAAAAATCTAAGAAAATTGGTATCTACCAGCATAAGACCAGATCCTCAAAGAAATCAGGCTATGGAGTATACCTATAACACTTAGGAATAGGACCACAAACTTATATGTATTATTAAAAAAATAATGTTCATAAGTAGAAATCTGAATAAATACTGGAGGAAAGAGTCTGCACAGGGTAAAATTGTTCATAGTTGAGACTCCCTGTGAAGTCTCATACCCAACGACAGAAGCAGTCAGTGACAGGGTGTCTCCACTTGAGAAAAAAATCAAGTCAGTGTATTAACTAAAAACAGACTCTGTGAGTATTAAAGGGGAAAAAAGTCAAAGCTCTACTCTGGGGTATACTTTTAACTGTAATGAAGCAGAGTCACTGAGGGGAGGAGGCCTCCAGCTACCATGATGACCAATCTGTATGACAGCCCCAGTGTCTTCAGTTGCTGCTCTGTACACACTGCTCCAACACCACCCGTCAGCCTCCTCTGAAACACAGCACTCCTTAACTTACCACTGCAGAAACTCTGGGGATTCAACATTTTACTACTTTTCTCATGTAACTCAGAATTGCTCCATTAAGCACAATTATTCATTTTGTGTGTACATGTATATTCATTCCCTCCTCTCCCCTTCGGCCTTATTTGCAGTACCAAGGTTTTAACTCAGTGTCTGGCACTTGTCCACACCCCCAAGCACTGTGTACTTTTAGCATTATTTTAGTTACACTGGATCTTGTTTTTGTTTTCATCTCAGGTCAACCTGGATCACAATCCACTTATCATGATTTTTTTTTTTTGGGGGTGGGGTCAGTCCTGGGGCTTGAACCTGGGCCCAGGTGCTGTCCCTGATCCCTGAGCTCTTCAGCTCAAGGCAAGCACTCTATCACTTGAGCGATGGCGCCACTTCTGGTTTTCTGGTGGTTAACTGGAGATAAGAGTCTCATGGACTTTCCTGCCTTGGCTGGCTTTGAACCGAGATCCTCAGATCTCAGCCTCCTGAGGAGCTGGGATTACAGGTGGGAGCGCACAGCAGCTTATTTGCTGGCATGAGTTCTTGCGAATTGCCTTGACTGGCCTTGAACTGTGATCCTCTCAATCTCTGCCTCCCAAGTAGGTGGGGTGCAGGTATGACAGGCCCACTCTACCACATCTCTATACCTTTGTGTATGTGTGTGTGTGCATTATTTTTCAGGTAAGGTCTTGCTGAGAGCAGGCTTCAGATCATGATTTTCCCATCTGTAGCCTGCTTTGTAGCTAGGACCACTGTTGTGTATCACTACATTGAGCTTATTTTTTTTTTTATTTCTCCCGTTTTCATTGTTCTTATTTCTTTTTTTTTTTTACATTGAGCTTATTGAGATGGGAATCTCACTAACCGTTTCCTCCAGGTAGCCTCGAACTATGATTATTCTGATCTCGTCCTGCTTAGTACCTAGGATTTCATGAGTAAGCCAATGTGCCTGGCCTCATTTTGACTCTAGATTAATCTTACCTGTCAAGGACAAGTAGCAAAATATGACTTGACAGTTACCTTTGAGCTATATATACAACTGATATATGCAAGTAATGTATACATATGTGGTTCCTGTGAACAAGACTGTTTTAAAAGCTTTGTTTAGATTTATCTCAAACTAGAAACCTCCTTCCATAGGTCTAGCAAATGTTAAAGTGAATAAATCTATATATTCATGATAGATTATACAACAATAAAAGCAAATGGATGTCTGCTAAATGCAAAAACATGGATAAAGCTAACAAATATAGCGTTGAATAAAAGAAATTGGATTAAAAGAGAAGGAGGAAAGAAATGAAGTTACACAGAATATAAACCTGAGTTATCTTTATACCTAAAGACAGACAATGTCAGTGATTCAACTTAAGCTAGAGGACAGTGCTTTATAGACACTTTTACAAAATAAAAGTAAAACAGAGACGTACCCAATAACACATCAGCTGCAAGCAAATGATCCATCACACTATCCAAAATGTAAGTCTGAAATTCTTTTTGCTGTGTTCTTGTAGATCTTTCAGGGGAAGCCTAGATCAGTCAAACAGAATTATAAATAGAATTAACTATACAAAGATGGGTTCAAACCATATTTACATTTTGAAATGTGTCAAAAAGATGGAAAAAAAACACTGTTGATAAAGTTTTTTAAATGACATGAGAAATACATATGTGCTTAAAATCTTTCTCTTATTTTTACTACTATAAAATTAAAAAACTATGGACAGAAGTTGATCAGGCCACACTGTTTACATGTGTGTACAAGTCCAAATGACACCCTCCTTTTGTACAACTAGCAATAAAATCATCAGTAATACACATACTCTCTGAATCCATTCTTTTAAATTCCTACTCTACACATGCTAAGTATTTCATAAATATTTGATGCCACTATCATACTTCCAAAAGATATCCTTTCATCACTTTTATCAAATATCAGCAACTTAACCAATCTATACAGAAATACATATAAAATAAATCATACAATGATTAAAAGAAATAGAAAAGTCCAAGTACATAATAGTCAAGATGATACAGAAATGGGGAGAGATATATTTCTAACAAAAAGCAACTAGGCACACAATTTAGCTCTAAGCTTCAGGGATATTAAGGAGAAAACAGATTATAATGCTTTTTATTCTCAGTAAAAGGAAGCAGAGTAGACTGTCAGCAGGATCTGTTTTCCTGTACTTGCTGGAGAGAAATATCCTCTGTGGATTGTTGACCAGACATAAAAGTAGTATCTCTTTGAACAGTTTCAGGAAGTACAAGATGGCTGAAAGCAAAAGCTACGGGCAAAGAGTTTAACCATATCCTCTGAGAGCATGTCTATCAGCAATTAGAGAAGACAATCTGGTACCTAACTCTCAAGAATGTAACCTAGTAAGTACTGAGCACAAGGAAGGAGAACAAACAGCCTTCCCCCATCCTTCCTGAATGCTAGGTGATTCAGCCAGGCTTCTGACACTACTGATCAGCTCACACTGTCAGAAAGCTCTTGATTTGTATAGGTATAAATGGATGCTTTGTAGACAAGTGAAATAGCACACTTGAGTTTGTGCAGGCAGATCCACAACTATGTTTATGACCATGTTACAAGTCAGCTTTAGAACACTCTTTGACTTTTCCTTCTGGTGTTCAAAGTTTTTAAGTGTGCAATTAAACGTGAGTTCTAAAGTGAGATCAAATATCTTAACATAAGGAGTCAAAAGCCCACAGCTAAAGCAAAGTTTGAATGAACATTTTTTTTTTGTTGTAATTTTTTGGGTTTAGTGGCGTGGCTCAGTTGGTAGAGCATTAACCAATGAGCAAAAGTGTCAGTTACCAGAATTTGAGTCCTTTTTTAAAATTTTTCATGACACTTTTTTTTTTTTTTTTGAGTACGAAGGTTTGAAATCAGAGCCTCTATTGCCTGAGCCACACTTCTAGCAATGTTTTGTTTTTTTGCTGGTTATTTTGGAGATGGAGTCTCCAGTGTGATTTTCAGTAACCTGGATTTGAACTACAGTTCTTCTTCCCTCATCCCAGCCACCTGAGCAGTGTGGATTAAGGGCCTGTGCCACAGGTACTGAGCTACATGATATTTTTGTTTTAAAATGACAAAGTATGGGGATCTAGTAACAGTTCTAAGAATCCTACTGCAGAGTTTGGTTTGTCATTAAACTAATTTGAGAAAATATAAAGGACATCTCATATAGTTCTTAATCTTAACAAATTCTGTTATCATTTTTCTTTTTTAAAAAAAAAATAATGTAGCCAGGCGCCAGTGGCTCATGCCTGTAATTCTAGCTACTCAGAAGGCTGAGATCTGAGGATCACAGTTGAAAGCCAGCCAGGGCAGGAAACTCTGTGAGACTCTTATCTCCAATAAATCACTAGGAAAACCAGAAGTGGTGTTGTGGCTCAAGTGGTAGAGTGCTAGCCTTGAGCTGAAGAGTTAGGGACAGTGCCCAGGCCCAGAGTTCAAGCCCTACGAGTGACCAAAAAAAAAAAAAAAAAAGATGTTGCAATCTTGTGCACGTAAGTCAAACTCTCTGCCACTGAGCCAGATCATCAGCCTCCTGTTGTTGTTGAATAGATGAGTACATGGTCAGTGGGAAATACGAACCAAGTCCTGCCTCACTGGTCTAATACTGCATGGGCAGTCCTGTCCTTGCCAAGTAAAAAGAAAGTGAGCATGTCTGATAAACAGCAGACTGAGAATTTAAATGCTAAAGCTCAGGACACTGAACTCATTCTACCAAAATTTCCATAGTGAAATTACAAATGCACAACAGAACAACACACAGAATGTAGGCTACAATCTTTCTTTCAAATAAAGTTGGCTCACCCACAGACAACCATAGTGAAAACAGTAAGCACTGTGACCTGCTCTGGCCCCTAGCCATTAGATCTGCCTTCCTGGTTAAAAAAAAAAAAAAAAAAAAAAGCAAAGCCAGGCAACCATTACTTTTCACAGGATCACTGTCTCCTGTTTGAGGTCTTGGGAATGCCACACAGTATTTTGGAGTCTTGTACATAGGCCAGGCAGCCATGGGCAACTGCTGCCTAAGAGAGAGAGTGGTGTGGCTCTGGGCGGAAGGCCTTTGGCACTCTGTCCTGTTGTTGCCATGTGCTGGACGACTTTAAAGAGGACTCTGAACTTCTTGGTTCTGACTAAAATCTTTCACTGGTTTCCTCTCAGAGTTGTCTTTTAGCTCACTTTGTCACTGAGTTCTGCTTCTTTGCTTTCCTTCAGTCCACCAGTGTGGGCTTCCCCATCATGTGTGACAATGGAGAGTCTTGCAGACAAGAACTGGAAGAATGTACTGAACTCATGAGACTACAGAATGCTGTTTATGGTATCTGAGAAGCATGTGCTCCAACTAACACCATGGTTCCATTATCTTTGCTTATAGATATATCAAAAATAGCTTTGATCTGATTTCTTGTACTTTCTACTGACATGGCAGTGTTCATTTGAAATATGTCCATTTGGTCCTCCACAAGTAGTGGCAATGCGTGATATGAATGTGAGCTAGAATGAGAGTGACTAGACCCTCTTAAATTTGATTATGTCTTGGGCGCCAGGTGCTGTGTTATAATTATTATCTGCATCATCTGGTTTTATTCTCGGTGATTCTTAAGCATAGGCACTTTTCTTACATTATTTTATGGATGGATGTACTATAAAGATGGAGGCCAACTGAACTTGGCCAAAGTTGTAATTGGCACATATTAATTGTTCAAAATACTTTTTGCTGAGTGATACACATACATTTAACCTTCATAATAACACTGCAGAGGACACAGTTTAAAAAAATTCTATTGTTCAAAGAATGACTGTAGCTTAGGTAAAAATAAAATGCATATGTAACAAGCAACAGCAACAGATTTAAGTCCAGATATTTCTGGCTCCTAATCCTACACTTTCTCTTGCAGCAACTGACTTCTTGGACTAGGCCTTAGCATTACACTTATGCCAATGTGTATAGACATTCTTTTATTTTTAGAGACTGTTAAAATAGGTCATTTCACATGTCTGTCTAGGGATATTCTGAAGTAAGTAGGTAGGCCTAGGACAAAACCTTACATTTATGAGACTGAAGATGGACTGGTGTATATTTAACCCCAAACCATCAGTTCCTCCCTGGAGGCTACTAGTACCATTCTCCTTTTGAATCTCTTCAGGGATAAAGACTTCATAATTCTAATATCAAGAATCATATATAGATTTTGTATTATAGGAAGACACAGATCATAATGATTTCATTCAATATTTTTGTACAAGTATTGTATAGGTATATGGAGCTCTTCAAAGTAGTTTTTTTTTGGTGTTGGTTCTGGGGCTTGAACTCAGAGCCTGGGCACTGTCCCTGAGCTTCTTTTGCTCAACGCTAGTCTTGAGTCATAGTTCCATGTCATTTTTTGGGGTGTAGAATTTGGTGGAGTGTCACAGACTTTCCTAGCCTTGCTGGCTTCAAACTATGATCCTCAGATGTTAGACTCCTGAGTACCTAGGATTACAGATGTGAGCTCTCAGCACCCAGCAAGATAATTAATTTAATTTTTTTTAAACTTTCTTTTTTAGTAGTTCATTGTACCTTGCTGTTTGGAAACTCACAAGATATAGTTAATAGTTAAATGATTAAAAAATACAGCTTATATGAAGGAACTGTGCTAACTTTAAGAGAATTTGAAGGACACATGAAAATGGGTCTGTAACTTTAAGAAGTTTGTAATCTATCTGGAAGCTTCATCTTGACAATCCTTGCTTCTCCTGGACTGAATACAACCTAGTTCAATGTGGCACAGTTCTACTAAAGAGTGATTAGTGCCTATAACAATGCAAACCAAATTCTTCCCACTGAATAGTATATAGAAAGCAAAATAAATTATATTATTTATATGTGAAAATTAGCTTTAAGATTCCTGTTAACCTGAAAGTAACTATTACTATATGGATCTACTCATTCCATACCTTTCCTAAATGTATTTTTTATTTTGCCCAGTTACCATTTATTAAACATATTTCTTCTGAACTTCATCCTATTTTGCATTTTTCATGGCATTATTCAAATTTTTACCCTATATACTAAGATAATGACTATCTTTCTTCCTAGAGCCTTTTTTTTTTTTTTTTGTCGGTTGTGGGGCCTGAACTCTGGGCCTAGGCACTGTCCCCAGCTCTTCAGCTCAAGGCTAGCGCTCTACCACTGAGCCATCTTCCAGCCCTCTAGAGCTTTTTAAAGTTTGCAAAAGGGACAAGCTCATTCAGTCATGCTTTTTAATTCTACCATACGGATTATTGAGAAAACTATTTTTTTTCCTGCCAATATTAAACACTGCAGTCTTAGTTAAAAGGCTTAGCATGACTGGTCCCTAAATTACATGTGACTTTTTTTTTTGGTCAGTCCTGGGGCTTGAACTCAGGGTCTGGCCACTGTCTTTGAGCTTCATTTGCTCAAGGCTATCACTCTATCACTTGAGCCACAGCACCACTTCTGGCTTTTTGTGTTTATATGGTACTGAGGAATCGAACCCAGGGCTTCATGCATGCTAGGCAAGCACTCTACTACTAAGCCACATTCCCAGCCCCTAGTGACTTCTTTTAATTGATCAAACTGAGATATTTTTACATGAATTAGGTTACACCATCTGTGGTATAAGGTGGCAATTTCTTTTTTCTTTAGTGTTTCTTTCCTTTGGTTTATCTCCTGATGTTACTCTTTTTGATTTTGGTACCCTGTTGTCATATATATATTTATCTGATTTGGGGATGGGAAGGGGAATAACAAAATAGTGAGACAAAAGACAAAGGGTGAACCAATGCAAAAGCTCACAAGACACTATGTTGGAAATGAACTTTACAACTTGGGGAAGAGGGGGTTGCCGGGGGGGGGGGTGAGGGAAAGTGGAAGAAAACAAGGGAGGGGTAACACTGTTCGACAAGAAATGTACTAATTACCTTACTTATGTAACTGTAACCCCTCTGTACCTCACCTTTATAATAAAATAAAATATTTTTTTAAAAAAAGATTAACTACATTTGCCACTAGAGGGATCAGAGAGCTCCCTGGTTCTGAGAGCATATGGGACACTTCTCTGAGAAAAGCAGTCTGCACAGATTGGATCCTTAATCCATTCCATATTTATATGACTTAGCCAAAAGAACATGAATAGTCAAAAGATTTTACATTATTTTCCTTAGAGATTTTTCTAGATGAACATCTTGTTGCTGTTTATGATCAGGACCTTGTACGTTCTAGACAGAACACTCGCTCCATCACTGAACCACATCTTCACCACTCGAGGAACATTTTTAAATGGTTTTCAGAGATGGTTAATTTCTAGAACCAGCAGTGAGGCTAGTGAAGGCTCAAAGCTACTCTCATTTTTTGATGCACCACTGATCCGTATAACCAGAAGTCTTTTTACCTTGGGGAAAATTCAGTAAGCACATACTGAGCAACCACAATGTGCAATACACTGTGTCATAGGCTACCCTGGATAGTAACAGGAACAATACATGGCCATGATGAGTAAGCAGGACTGTAGTAAGGAGGTGAGTGTGATAAATGTCTAGGAAGTAGTTGTCACACTGTGGCCTGTGGACCAAATCCAGCCTGTGAGTTTTATAGATAAAAGTTTTATTGAAACAGTGATGCTGCTCATTGCCCCTTCTAATGTTTGTAGCTCTCCTTTCATTCTATAATCATTCTGGTGAAGAATTATGATACAGACTATCATGACTGAAAACCCTTAAGTATTTACTCCCTGGCTCATCACTGAAAGTTTTCCAAATCCTAAAGAGTAATGATAAAGGACTGAAGCAAATGCTTGAAGAAATGGAAAAAATTTTAATGAACTGATAGGGTCTAAAACACATGTGGAATTAAATTTTTCATAGCGTTTGGTATATTCTACCCACATGTAACTCAGAAAAATTAGAAGTCTGAAAGTATCTGGCACGTAACTCAGTTGACTTTTAATGTTTCAATTAAAAAGCAATGCAAGGAAGATGTCTATGCATTTCCTTGTCATTACCTCTAACAAAAGATCAATCAGTGGAGTTTGCTTGCTGGCCGGGGTAAGACACAGGTTGTCTATTATTAAGACCCGCATGAAGTCAAACACAAACTTTTTAGCTGGGTGATTGGTCAGATACGTCTTGGTGCCCACATTACAGTACTCTGATTGGCTCCTGTTCATTCCTGTGTCTGCTGCAAACGCCTTAAACTCTTCGGCTGGAGATCCAACTTCATCATCAAGATCAGTAACCTGTGAAATCAAGTAAATCACATTAGATCCTACATGACATTTTTACTGTGTTTCCTAAAAATAAAACTGTAGCAGCAGCAGCAACAGCACTATTTCCTTAGTCTTCACCTCCTGTTGAGCCACTCAGCACATTATTCCATTCTATTTCACATGATCCTGGCTTTCAAGGTACGAGTAACCTGGCACCATTTGTCATAGTTACTAAACATATGGTCTTGTCTACTTTATGTGGATTACAAATCTATGATGGGTAACTACTTAAATGAAATGAAGTAATAGTAATGAGGATGAACATATTTGTACTTTCCAAGACTACCTAAGGAAAAGTCAAATGTCACAAAATTTCAGATAGAAATCTGGCATAAATGTAGTACCAAAAGGCTCACCCAAGTTTTGTAAGTGAACAAAACCAAAATAATGAAACAAAATAACAAAAAACAATTCCCAATTTTGACCCAAATGGAAAAGAGAGACTAGCAGATAGATTAAAAATGCTGATTATGAAAAGGTATTTATTTAAATATACATGGAAGCTCTCATATTTACCCAAAGTGAGAATTACCAAACTGTAAACAAGAGTGTTAAGGTCCTGTGTCATAATTATTTTTCTCTTAAAAATCTCCACAAAAACTTAGAATGAAGCCGGGCACTGGTGGCTCATGCCTATAATCCTAGATACTCAGGAGGCTGAAATCTGAGGATCTCGGTTCAAAGCCAGCCAGGCATGAAAGTCTGTGAGACTCTTATCTCCAATAAACTCCTCAGGAAACTGGAAGTGGCGCTGTGGCTCAAGTGATAGAGTGCTTGCTTTGAGCTGAAGAGCTGAGGGACAGCGCCCAGGCCCAGAGTTCAAGTCCCACAACTGACACAAACTAAAAACCAAAAAACTTAAAATGAGTATTTTATCTTATATATAGAAAAATGCAGTATGAAGGAGATAGTTTATTCGAGACTCTATAGGAAATCATAGGAGATGAAATATCCTCAAATGCTATGAGGAAATACCTTTGTTTTAATAAAAATATCTTCTAAAGGACTGAGGTAGCTATATTATATATCATTATAGTCTAAAAAATTTCTATTAAGTTAGTACAAAGTAAGAAAAATAAAAATTGAATGAATAAGAAAATCAGGACAGGCCAGGTGCCAGTAGCTCATGCCTGTAATCCTAGCTACTCAGAAGGCTGAGATCTGAGAATTGTGGTTCAAAGCCAGCTTGGGCAAGAAAGTCTGTGAGAGTCTTATTTCCAATTAACCACCAGAAGACTAGAAGTGGCACTGTGGCTCAAGTGGTAGAGCACTTGCCTTGAGCTGAAGAGTTCAGGGTCAGTGCCCAAGCCCAGAGTTCAAGCCCCATGACCAACCAAGAAAACAAACAAATGAACACGAAAGAAAGAAGGGAGGGAGGGAGGGAGGGAGGAAAGAAAGAATGAAAAGAAAGAAAGAAAGAAAAGCAGGGCAGGAGAAAAAAAAGCAACATGTGCTATAAATTTTATGTTACTTAACTGTATAAATTAAATCCAGACAATTCCTACTTCCTGAGATGAGAAAAGAGTTTGCATGACCAGAAATCTATTGCCTATAAAAATATTTTATAGGGGGGGGAGATGGGAAGGAAAGGGAAGGGGAAACAAAAGAGGAAGCATCTGCTTGATAAGAAATGTACTCATTACCTTGTTCATGTAATTGTAACTCCTCTGTACGGTATTTTCACAATTACAAAAAAAAAAGAATATGCAAAAAAAAAGAAAGCAACTATAGAGCTCCCCTTAAATAAAGAGTGACATAACAACTTCTCAGGAAAAAAATATTTTATAATTCTGTAGTCATTTTCTCATGAAATAAATGAATCAACAACTGCCTAGAAAAGGAAATTACTAACAAAAATATGATAAATGAAAACAGAAAGTAGAGTTTGCTACTGTTTCAGGAGAAAGCAGAAGGCGTGTATGGGGAGCTAGACACCAGACAATGATGTAAGAGGTGGCATATTAAGTTATGAAACTGTAACTTGGTCAGAAACTTAAAAGATAGTCAAAAAATATCTGCTAACCATTGAACAGACTAATTCCAGTTTTGACATTTTCCTCCCCAATTCCTACCATCTCTGAGTAAGGTCGAATATTGAAGGGGAAGACAGTTGCTGCTAAGGCGCATAAAAAATCAGGGCTCATCCACATGGAGGCAAGGTCTGGGACATTGTGATATAAGTATCTGAAGAATTGCATCAGGGTTACTGGATATTCTCGAAGCCAAGACCCCTCTTCTTCTGACTGCCATGGCTGAAATAGGGACAAAACAAAAATAGTGTGTTAAAGAAATTGATGTATCTAAACATTACATTAAAACCTACCACTCTTCTGAAATTGTAGGTATCAATGATCCAGAGCTCTATAAAACATGTGTATAGACAAATGCAAATAAATCTAAAAGTTAATTGTAATAAAATCAATGCCTCTAGAAGCTGACAGGATGTCTATTCATTATAGTACTCACAGCTGAGCTAACTCAAGTCAATGGTTTTGATTATTCTTCATATTACACCCAAATATGGCTGGGAACCTAGTGGCTGTACTACCTTCAATACTGCCCCAAGTACATGATAACAGAGGGTTAGGAATAAGATAAATGATGAACAATGCATTTATCTTTCTCAGACTCACACTATGTACAAACCAAGAACAATACTATTAAGCACTGGATAATACAATGACAAAGGTAATGATCAGTAATATTCACTTAATATCAGTTAATGTTTACAAAGAAACTCATATATCAAGCACCCATGGATTTTATGAATAGGCTACCAGGTAAATTCTGTTAGCAGCTTTTTCATTGAAGAACTGAGGCAAACAGGAGTTAGCACATCTGATATACCAGAAATTGAACTTCAGTCTCTTTTTGGTGGTTCTTTTTATTTTGCAGTGCTGGGCCTCATGCATGGCAGGCTCCCTCTACTACCCAAGCTACACCCCTTCTCTAGTCTGTAGTCTTAGCACTATCTGGTCTGTCCTTACATTAGAGATAACAAAACAGTCTGAGGTTACTGTAACTGTATAGTAAATCAATAGGTACACTAAATTATAAATGGACTCCTCTCTTAAAAACAACCCACAGGCAGATAGATGATCAAGAGGCCCAGTGTCCAGCAACTTACTGAATTCAGCATGCTGCGGAGCATTCCCAACAAAAGAAAAGCAGCCTCTGTACACACATTGTGGATAGAGGAGACAACAGTCCCACTGGAGGCAGGAACCCCAAAGATAAATGTCCATATGGAATCCAAGTCAAACTGTAGAGGGCAACATGATTAAAGATTAGTCATTAAAAACTCTTTTTCAGGGAGAGACCCTTATAAAGTTTAGTATTCTAAAATATACTTGAAATTAGTCTTTTAAAATAAACATGGTAAAGAGATGAATACCTGATCACCCCCTATTTGGCTGTTCCACCCATTTTTATACTTATATATTATCTTGTCTTAGCTAGCACCTATATTTTAAACACCGCTTTCTATCTTGTCTTCTAAATATAATAAGGAGAAGCAAAATACACGCTAACGGGCAAAGAGAAGAAATTACAGAAGTAATGATTCTAAGTGGGATCTTTTAAAAAGCATGATAAACTCACTTCATTGTCAGCAATGTACTAATTCAAATTTAGACTACTTGCAAATAAGATTTGATAAAATAAAAATCAGTGAGGAGATTTATTCACAACAGTTTTATATAATACTGTATGTCCATGATGCCATGTATTTCAAAGATGGCAAAAGCAAACTTTTAAACATAAATCTTTACCCTGACTGCATATAATACAGTCTAGGTGATTTCACTTAAAAGGTTTTATCAGCTGCTGGAATGGTATTGGAAAGAATCCAAATTGACTCAAAAGTTAAATTCCTAAATCTTTGTAAAATAAAACTCTACTGTTTTCCAAACATAGGTGTTATCTATCATTAAGGAATTTAAAATGCTTGTTAGAACTTGCACAAAAATTGTGTCCTTTTTTTTTTCTTTTGGTGATGGAACTGTTTTTTTAATTCAAGGTCTTGTGCTCTTGCTTGTCTTTTTGATTCAGGTTGGTGCTTTACCATATGAGCCACAAGCTCAACTTCCTGCTTTTTTGCTGGACTTAAGAGTCTCATGGACTTTTTTGCCTGGCATGGCTTCATATCTCTCTCCCCATAACTCAACCTCATGAGTAGCTGAGATTACAGGCCAGTTCACTCCATTTATTATTATTATTTGTTGTTGGTTTTCTGTTCCTGGGGCATGATCTCAAGGCCTGACCATTGTCCCTGAGCTTTTGTGTAGGCTAGCATTCTAGCTTCACTTCTGGCTTTTGGGTGATTAATTGGAGATATAAGTGACATGATTTTCTTGTCTGGGCTGTCTTTGAACCTTGATCCTTAGATCTGTCTTACAAGTAGCTAAGATTATAGGCATGAGACACAGGCTCCTGGCTACTATTTGTTTTTTAAAAAAACATTATATTTCTATCAAAAATCTCCGTACTGAAAAGAATCCTTTAAATCATCATTAATGTCAAACAAAGACCTTACATATAGGTAGTTATTTAATCACATAGATAAAAAGGCCAAACAGTGACAAAGGACTTCTTTTTGGGAAAATTACATAAAGAATTTTCAGAGTTTTCCATCCCAATCTTAAATGTGAGAAAGTGACAGAACTGATTTGTCATCTATTCTAAGGCCATTGTTTGGTTTAAACAGTTACAGTTACACCTTACTAGATAATTCCTACCTGGCAACCCTGCTTACATCGGCTGCTGATGACAGGCACACTGACCTGCAGGTTCTCAGGCAGCTCACTAACTGGCTGCTGCAGAAACAATGCCATGAGGAGGAAATAAAGGGCAGGGACATTAGTGTGTTTAGGAAGAAATGACTGGAGAACTGGAAAACCGGGAAAATGACAGGCATCCCGGTTAATCTCCCTGACCGTCCATCTCCCACCGGCACTTCTGCCCACATTGAACCCTACAGAAGAGAAAATACAATAATGAAATCAACAATCATAATAATGCTTCAGTAACAAACAAGGGAGTAACTTAGTATGTATCCCAAGCATTCATAGCAACACAGCAAATAACTATTCAAATGTTGAATTCAATGTTTAGCCAAGTTTTTATTTGCCATCTGCTTGACTAGCAAACCTGTCTACTATAATACAGATTTTGTGACACAGCTGAGACAATAAGTGTTTGAAAATGCTTAAAGTGATATAAATTTGACTCATTAAAAAAATGACTTCAGAGGATCTCTAACATTATCGCTTACATTTTCAAAGAACTAAGTTGCATTGGAAGCACCACCCCCAAATGGAAGATGCTGTAAAATATACTTGGTAAAATAGTTAGTGTATTTCATGTGGCCTGAAAAATTATGCTACACCAGTTAACTTTAAATTATCTACAGATTTAGAGGCGAGACTAAATGAAAACACAAAATGGTCATCCTTCTGTTGAGAAACTGCCAGGAAGAGGAATGACAAATCCTTTGTAGCTCCATGCAAGTTGACCTGATGTCCCAGAATCCTCTGAAAGAACCTAGCCTTTTCAGTGCTTCTTAATGATGTATATATAGCATCAGTGTTTCTTTCAATTCTGTTTCCTCTGTTACACATGGCTTTTAGGATACAACAAAAGCACGGTTCTTTTGGCCAAATTTTCAGTTGAAATCTTTTGTAAACAGGAAACAATATACAAAGGACTGATTTTACTATGAATCACAATGAACATGTGATTCATACACTTATTTTCTGGGGATCAAACCAGAGTATATCATACACATCCTAGGCTTTACTATCAGTTTATAACACAGAAAAAATGCTGTTAATTAAAATCTCAAGGTTAACTAGAGGTAGCACTAGGATTTGATGTAATGCCTGCATTTCACAGGGCATAGGAGTATGCTGTCTCCTTTGTCCCTGTTAATAAGACTGTCACATTTCTGAAAAACTAGTTATATTTTATGACATTGGTTTAATTTTTGTTTTTCGTAAATTCTAAACAAAATTATTTATATAAGCAGGGTATATGGCACAAGCACTCTGAGGCAATTAGCATTTTGAAGCCAGGACAGGAGGATTTTGAATCCAAATCTACTGGGCTATGTAAGAGATGTTGTCTCAAAAAACCCAAGAAAAAAATTAATACAAATGGGAAATTTATACATTACACAGGAAAATACATTTTCAATTAAACTGCAGATCCTAAAAAGAAAACTAATACTATAGGGCTGCAAGTGTAACTCAGCAGCAGAGTGCTTACTTAGAATGCAGGAGACCTTTGGCCGTATCTCCCAACCAGAGGAAATACAATAAACATAGAAAATCCAACACTAAGGTTTTCATTTTCCTTTCTAAGGCTTTACAATAATTTCCCCTTATGAGTCTGAAAGAATATTTAATGTAATATTAACAGTTAGATATTAACTACAACTAGATAGAAGGTATTTTTAGAAAAGCATTTTGACAGAAACTAATAAATGTGAATTGAAAAGTCAAAATCATGAGGCTGCGCACCAGATAAAGGAGAAATAGTCAAATGAGAAGATATATGCACCTGCCATACAAGCAAATGTGTGTCACAAGGATTCAGTAAAAATTAGTTAGGATTAAACTTAATAAATTGAGTATCTAGATTCCTTTTATGGCATTAGAGCAGCACGTGCACTGTACAAGAAGGTATTAATGAAGGACAGGCAAATTCTAAGGCACAAAAGCCAGGACTGTTATGGAGATGCCACTTAACACAGCTTATGAATACAATGCATCTTGATCAGTGTTACCCCCTTCCAACATTCTCAGAACCTTTCTAATATTCCTGAAGTGATGTAGGATACAAAAAGGTCCATGACAGTTAGGAGACAGATTCCTTGACATTATCAGTGCCTGGTCTAGAAATGTTATAGGAAAATAGCATATCTTAAGTAAAGAAAACAATTCTTAATTTATATTTACTGTTGCATATTTCCTTCAAAATGTAATTTTTACTAAAATATATGGCCAAATGAATTGGTATCAAATAATTTGACACACCATAATATACTATATAATTCTTAGGGTTCATTATTACTACCACTTTTGGACTTTAAAACAAGCAATGCTGTTAATCAGAACGTTCAATTTAACAGAACTCATGTTCATTTATGCCTTTCATCGTTTTTATTTATTCTCTAAAATAAATACTTCCCTCCCCTCCTCTTCTTCGCCACTCCCTGGTTCTTCCTTTATTTCTTAAAGACAGAGCAGAACAGGCTGGCTTCCAAATCACAAATTTGAGATCTATTTACCTATATCTCTGAAGAAGGAGATTACAGGGGTTAGGTACTACCACACCCAGTTTTCTAGTAGCTATTCTTAAGATGGATAAGCTCAATTTCCTACTACAAAACTATTCATAATAATCATATTTGTAGGTTATATTTTTCCTCTGTGCCATGGGAAATGATGGTCTATTTTTCAGAGCACAAAAGTATCTATAAAACAGGTACTTAGAAACTGCTTTTTCTGAAAAGCATTCATGGGCCCAAGGCACATGAGTTAACTTAAAAGCATGACAAAAACCTGGTATCCCTACCTTTATTTCACATATCTCCTTTGTCTTTAAAGCTCTGCCTTGACTCCTAACTCCCTGTAAGCAGTGATAGTCGATCCATCTCATCCCACAAAAGGCACAGGAAACAGTTTTCTCAACCTGTCAAGATCTTCTACACCAAGATTCCTGAGTACTCTAACAACAGTAAGTGGTTGCTGAAGAAAATGACCTCTAGCACTGAGCCCTCCAAAGAAATGGAATGATGACTTTGACAGTGGCATCTGATGGATAGCACTAGTAACAGGTTAACTAATTCCATTTTGTCCTTTTTCTGCCTTTATTTTTCCTCTTTAACCTTTCCTTCTGAGTCTATCCTACTATCAACTTGGATTCCACTGGACCAATCAATAATAATTTGTGATAGGAGTTAAATCTACCCAGTGGTCTGCAATGACTTCTTTATCTCTGACCAATTCTACTCTATCAAACCATAGTTTTACCATAACTGATTAATGATGCATTAATCAGGCCCTTTCTGACCAATCCTGATCAATCAAACCATAGTTTAAATAAGACTGATTAATGATACATTCTTCTTGCCCCTTCCTATATAATCTGGAAGCTCATGTCAATAACCCAAAGATGGACTTGGGGTCCATAAACCTCATTCTTTTTTTTTTTTTTTTGGTTGGTAGTGCGGCTTGAACTCTGGGCCTGGGTGCTGTCCCTCAGCATTTCAGCTCAAGGTAAGCACTCTTAACACTTGAGCCACAGCGCCATTTCCACTTCATTCTTTCTGACATGACCATGTTCAATAGATTTTTCTCTATCCACCACCACTAGGCTTTCAAATTTGCTTGCTGAGACTGTGAACTGAAACTTTTGCCCTAATACACTAGTAACATCCATGACAATAATTTCAAAATATATTTGTGTGTGTGTGTGTGTCTGTCTGTCTGTCCTGGGGCTTGAACTCTGGGACTGGGCACTGTCCCTGAGCTCTTCAGCTCAAGGCTAGAGCTCTACCACTTGAGCCACAGTGCCACTTCCGGTTTTCTGGTGGTTAATTGGAGATAAGAATCTCATGGACTTTCTGGCTGGCTTTGATCTCATCCTCCTGAGTAGCTAGGATTACAGGCCTGAGCCACTGTCGCCTGGCTTCCCTGAGTGTCCACAGCTCCACTTCTGGCTTTTTGGTGATTAATGGAGATTAGAGTCTCCTGGACTTTCTTGCATAGATTGACTTTGAACTATGATCCTCAGATTTCAGTCAATAGCTAGGATTACCGGTACTCAACTTCAAATATAGTTTAAAGATAATTTTCCTGAGAAATCACTTCAGAGTGAAACAGAAATAGTATCCTTTCTATATCATATACTAAGTTTCTTCAGGTATTTCCCATATTTTCATCATAAAATGGTATGGATATCATACTGAAAATTGTCTTCCTATCATTTACTTTGATATTTAACATGTATTAATGTATTAATTTAACATGTCAAAGTAAGTGATAGGAAGGTACAGGTAATATCTAGATATTAAAACTTTTGCATTTTAAAAATAAACTGCAGATTAAATTCTGATCCTTAATTTTCCATCTGACAGGGCAAATAGAACCTTTCAAATATAACACAAGCAACTTCAGGTCAGACAGACCATTCATTACATGTATGGAATGTTACAGTGACAAATACTTAGTTTAAGAATTGAAATATTATACTTTCACTAATATAAACAGGAATGTCAGCTTGAAGACATCTAACAAAAAAATAGGAAATGCAAGCAAGCAGAGAATAAGGAGCGTTAGCAGAAACAGCCACTAAGCTCAAGTCGTTAAGCAGCAATAAAATGTAACTGTTAAAAGCATGGACTATAGATCTGAATGACTTGGATTCAAATTGGATTCCTGTTATTGTCATTTTTATAACAATGCTTTTATCCTTTGTTTTTGTAATCTGCAAAATGAATATGATGACATTTATACTTCACAGTTACTCTGCAAAGGAAATAAATTATGTAGTGATCAGTAACAGAATAAACACTCAAAAGCAGCATTACTGTTTTACTATTAATTCAGTTACACCTAATAATTTGCTCTTTACTAATAGATAAGAAGACCTGTTATGAAAAAATCATGAAAAATTCTCTCAGCTTTCATATCTTACTATACTATCTGACTTTAGTTTGAATTTGAAATTTCTAAGCTTTTCTCTCAATCATTAGTTAAAACTCATGACACTTAATGGTTATCAGATAAACCGGCCAGTATGTGCTTACATGCATTTAAAACAAAACACAGTAACTTATGTTAAAGCACTTAACCATAAAAGCTTCATACCTAACACAGTTCCAATCTTATTAGTTAAGACAGAATCCGTCTGTTCAAGCCATCCTCCACCACTGAGTCCTTCTTTAAATTTGATGAGAATAGACTGATTACTAAGCAGGACGACAAGAATCCTCATGGCTGCTGTAACTGTGGTGGGATGCAAGTGTTCTTCCATAAACATCATGATCCAGTCAAAGCCCAGGGTCTTGACCAGTTCTTCACAAGCTCTATTCAAATACAGATGGATTTAAAGACATTAAATTAATTTCAGGAATTAAGATGTCAACATTAAGAAGAAACATAGGACTTGATTTCACTCCTAAAATACTATAAATTTCAGTGTTAAAATAAACCCTAAAATTTGTGGCAATTTCTACGTTTGTGGATATGAGTGAACTGGTAACAGTATGTAGTATATAGTAGTACCAAGTCTAAAAGGTTCTACTGCCAGATGTTGGTGGACTACATGTGTAATCCTAGCCACTTTGGAAGCTGTGGCAACATAGGTAACTCTAGGCGGAAAATTCTGCGAGAACCCTTATCTATGAAGGCTGGACAAACTGGTATACACTTGTTAGTTCAGTTATGACTCAGCAATCAAAGTATCTAGACAACACAAGGAGCTGAGTTCAAACCTAGGCTGATAATTCTGCAAGAAACCTTTATCACTGAAGGCTGAACAAAGTCGTATACACTTGTTAGTTTAGTTATGGCTCAGCAATAAAAGTATCTAGACAATACAAGGAGGTGAGTTCAAACTAGTACTACAAAAAAAAAAACTTACTGCAAGTTAATGCTTGTTTTTTCTTTAGATGTATAAACTAGTTTTAGCAATATATCCAAAAGTCTGTTTCTCAAAAGTATAAGATTGGCAGATACAAGACTTCCAAATTCTTCTTCAGTTCCTGAAATGAAAATAAATACATTAAATAACCTTAGAAGATACACTAAGATAAAATTTTCAATGTGATTCTTTGATACTTCATAAAAAATAATATTTCAGTAATTTTTTTCTGTCTAAGTACTGTCTATTGAAGTGGCTAAGAAAGAGGGTCAGTTAAATTTCAAGGTTCTCTATAGCACATTTACATCAGGTATTATCTAAGTTCTATTTAACAGGAAGAAAGCTATCAATAAAGATCATAAGAAGAAAAATAATTACGACAGAATGTCAATTTCCAGACAGTTAATTTCTTGAAGGATACAGTTAATTTTCTTAAAGGATACAGTTTAATGTACCAGATTTAAAAAAAAAACCCACAGATGGGATAATATATAACACACTGAGGAAAGTCAGAATTACAGAGCACTGACTAGATGAAAAGGCATACAAATAGAGGTGAAACTGGAAAAGGCGGAAAGGCAAACAAGAGCTCAGTGGCTCTCAGGGACATGTCTTGGAAGCACAGGGCCAGGCATCAGAGTATCAGGCTGTGACGTTGTTCATAATCAGTAACTCTCTCTATGGTGAAACTGAGAAACTTCACTATGAGTTTATATACTTTTACTTGTTTGGGCCAAGGATCACTACTAACATTTAAATTGCATTTGTGCATTATGGACCTTCAGATTCACCAAAAGGAATTCAATATTCTTTCCTCTTCCAAGAGGCAGGATAATGGTAATTTCAGACTGCCTTATCAAAGGCCTACCCCTACCCTAGGGACCCAAACACTCATAAGAACAATAAAATATTGATAGAAATTCTTAGGTTTCTACCAACTATGCCTCCCCAAATTTTCAAAGCAGTATAAAATGATGTATTCTAGAATCAGTTTCTAGGTTTACATTTTTGCAACTCCCATTTTTGCTTTATTCCACACTGTGCCACTCATTCTTATTTGATTGGATTGTGGGTCAGTGTTCACCATTATTCAAGGCATTGCTTTTATTACATGTGTAATCTAAACATCATGCCTATTACTTGAAAGGGAAAAAAAATTCTGTCACTTTAGGTTTTGGGGATATATTATACCAATAATACAAATAAATAATAAATGTTATTCACTAACTAGAGTAATTTTTTTTATTTCCTGTATTATTTGATATGGCAAGAAAGTGATGACAAAACCAGTATACTTATTTTTGTTTATTAACAACATTTTTTAGTTATTTTTGTATTCTTACTGCAGTGTTCTAGACCAAAGAAGAGTTTACAACACTATAATGTGTAGTACAGAGGTATATTTTTCTCCAGAAAAATGTCAGTATTCACCTGGCTGAAAGCACCAGGATGTTGGAGGGAAAGTATAAAAAAAAAAAACTCTGAATTTAGTAAGTTCAGTAGTATGTAAGTATATACAAATGTACTAACTGAAACATGGTATATTCAAGGGAGAACTCAAATAGTGTAATTCCTTAGAAAGGCTAAGTCAGAGTTCAGAAAAATAAAGCACATGGAAGCAAGTAATTGAAAGAGATGAGGTGCATTCAAGGGGAAAAGGGTGTGCAAATGAAGATGAGAAGGGGAGATGCAGTCAATAATAAAATGTATTGCCTACAAAATTAAGAAAGTGTGTATACACTGTATTTATAAGCTGCTTTGTTAAATAGTACCCCTTTGTACAACTACTTAAAGATAGTAACTTATAACTATGAAATTGTTTTTTTATTACAGGTATATAAGATGATCTTAGTAAAGTGCTCTTTTTCCCAGTGACTACTAAATACTTAGCAGAAAAACAAAAATAACAGTAAAATGAAAATAACTGATTCTTAACCAGTATTGTTTCTGGAAATGTGTACTTTTAATTAAAGAAGTCCAATAATGTTTAAGTATATTAGAAGGGCTTGCCATTTAAAGGAACAATGATCTGAATGCTATAAAAATAAAATGTTGTTTAGGAAGCAAAATTCACATTCTATTAAATTTTGTAGGGAACATACATATCTACAAATTATGTAGATTTGACATAAGACAAACATCAGTGAAAGACCAAAAAATAAAAAATAAAGTAAGGAGGAAGTTATATAACAATATCATTGTTATATTACATAATATATATTATTCAGGCCAAATTTATATCAGAGAAGAACAGAACATAGTAATTAGTTAATCATTATCGTTTCCCAAATTCCAGGGTAAACTCACCAGTGTCAAGTTTCTCTTCATTATTTATTTCCATAACTACAAATTTCTCACAAACTGCAAAGGTTGGCAAAGTAGAAGAAATAAACTGTCCAAATCTTTAAATAAAGGAGTAAAAGAGGTTATCCAGCTTATTTTTCATTCTCTAATGCAACAAAATACAAAGGTGTAAAAAACAAAATAACACTTCTGATTTTAAGTTTTATGAACCTTTAGGTAATTGTATTTTGTTTGCTACCTTTTGAATAATTTCTGGTAATATTACGTATTACAATATTACATATAGTGTTTTTAAAATATGGGATAACTATAGGTCTTTGAAAGTATGAACTCTTTAATACAATAACCTAAATGATTTAAAAAATTAAAATGTGAAAACGTTTTGGTGATAAACCAAGCAAATCAATTAATTTATTCTAGGATCAATGCTAAATATATATGGGTAATATTACAATGCTCTAAAATCTGAAGCTGCAGCTTTAAATTCTACCAAGTTAAAAAACACATACATAGACACACAAATGATTTCAAGGTAGATGAATATAAAAGTTGGTGATTTACGAATGACACAGATTGGAGACTAGTCCACTGAGCACACTAATAAATAGGTATGATTTCATGATCCCTATGAGATGACATAAGAAGTGATGAAAACAATCAGTGTAATCAGTCCTCACTTAAGAAATATTTAAACAGATTTTTTTTCTAATCTACTTTTAGTTATGATGGGGATAAGAACATTTCTGGATGAACACATTCCATGAATAGGCCTTAAGCCACACTTCTTATTCCAGCAAAATAATATTCAAATAATATAAAATAATGAAGTATCACCACTTGTTTGAGAAGTGGTAAGGGACTGAACATTCCTATACTGAACATTTTTATGTTCAAGCCAATTAATGTCAATGGCTAATTATCACATCTTTTCCCACAAATATTATATTGTTCACTGGTAGCAACAATTGACTATTCTATAAACACAAGATACTAAGGTACTGCAAATCTTCTAGGCCATATCTTGAATAGTATTGACATTACAGGTGTTATACAGGCATAGGAACCATTTGCATCATCTCATTCATCTTCACCACGTGGTACTTTTAGTTAATAAAAAGACAAATGACATTCTCACTACCTGAGTAGATCATTGCTATTGGGGAAACCTTGTAACAAGAAGCTCAGCACATTACTAATAGCAGCAATGGTGGGCTGGGATAAGGACATGTCTCGCAGAGTCAGGAGCAACTTTGGGATCAACTGGAATTCTCTCATTAACTTGGCATTCTTTGAAGCTTCACTATAAAAGAAAAAAGATTTAATACGCTGTACTATCACCTTTATTTAAAAAAAAATAACAGAACCACTAATTATAGGGCATTAACTAGTACCTGGACTCTGTAAGCAGTTCAATGAAGTGCTCAAATAGGGAAAGATGAAGCTCATAGGGTGCATGTAGCCAGACCTATAAAGAAAACAAAGAACAAGGGGAAAGAGAAAGAGGGAGAAAAATGAGGGAGAGGGAAACAAGTTAGACAAAAAATTAATTACCAACCGTAACCCCTATGTACATCACCTTGACAATTAAAATATAATTTAAAACAACAACAACAAAAAAAACCCACAAAGAAGAGCAACAAGGTTAAAAATGCCCTGATGGAAAGGTTGAGCAAATACAGTTATTATAGTCAATGTACCTTATGTAAATATTGAACTACATAACTTGAGGGTAGGGATAGGAAGGGGAAAGATGTGAGATGGAAGGATGACAGTGATCAAGATGCACTGTATTCATAATCTGACTTCTGGAATTGAAATGTCTTTGTACAACTCTTAATAAAAATGAATAAAAAATATTTGGAAGTGGTGCTGTGGCTCAAGCAGTAGAGAGCTTGCCTTGAGCTAAAGAGCACAGGGACAGCGTCCAAGCCCAGAGTTCAAGCCCCATGACTAACCAAAAAAAAAGAAAAGAAAATAAAAAATATCAACAGGATATAATCACTTTCTTAAATTTACAAGTTTACAGAGCTTTTTAAAATAATTTTTTCATTTGGATATGTCTATATATTTACACAGTGGATTTTTATTCTCAAGCATAAAAAGTGCTGGTATGTAGATTGGTTACCATAAATAGGCCCCCAAAATGGAAGATAATGGAATTATCATGCTTTAAAAATCTATTATAATATGCTCCACATGTTTAAGAATGTACAAAAAAGATAAACATGATGAAAAAAGATATGCAAGACAAACAGCTAGTAACAAATTTTTGGACATGAATAAACAAGGTATCTAAAATGAACTGTAGGTGTGATTCAACAGCAGATCTAACAAGCATGGGGACCCTGAGTTAAAAATCCTGTTACTTTAAAAAAAAAAAGTAAATAAAATAGAAAATTTGCTAGATGGCACAGCCAATTAATCAATGCACAAAACTATTGATCACTGCATAAAATTTACTAAACATTATAAACTACCCAAAATGAAGCATAAAAATATAAGTGACCAGATAATGCACTACTGATTTATGAGACATCAAGCTATTTAAAATCTGTGCAATTGGTATCTAGAAAAGGAAAAGGGGCAGGAAAAATATTTGAAGAACTAATTGTTTAAAAAAATACGAATTTGTTGAAAAGGTCAATTCACAAATTAACAATCCCCAAAGGAGAAGAAAACAAAGAAAATCATGAAATGATGTTAAACTAGACTCATATTACAAGCAAAATTATCCTTTAAAAGGGAATGAAAAAAAAAGTTTTCATATGGGAAAATCTCCTTGGCTCCAAAAATACCTACCATGTGCTTTCTGAAATAATGAGGTTTGGGCATTAAGCTTTGAGTATCAATTTGAGGAATGGGTAATCTATTGCACACAAGATAGTCACATGTTAGATTTCAGTCAGAAATCTGAAACTACAGAAATCCACGATCTGAACATGTTACCAGATGATAAAAGGTTAAGGCTGGGATAGGTAGCTCTCTTTGTTCTCTCATAACCCAAAACTTTCTATTTATAATTAGTGTCCATTTCTTTATCTTTTCCGTTGTGATATAGTTGTCTATTTCTTTGTATTTCTCTTCTAGTGGATGAAATACTTGGAGGCATTCACTGTGTGTTTTATTTTCACATCCTTAGCAAATAATGAAGTGCTTGGTGTCAAAAATACCTACCATGTGTTTTCTGAAAGAATGAGGTTTGGGCATTAAACTTTGAGTATAAATTTGAGGAATGGCTTATCTATTCCACTGAAGATGAAATCTCTGGAAAATTATTGAAAGTGATATAATTATGCCTCTAAAAAAGAATGAGATCATCAAGCATCAAAATAGAAATAGCAATAAGAGACCTCCCATCTAAGAAAGGCCCAGGACTGGATAGATTTACAGCTGAATTCTACAAGGTCTTCAAAGCAGAACTCACACCAATACTCCTCCAACTCTTCAATGAAATTAACAGAGAAAGTTCACTACCAAACTCTTTCTATGAAGCTACCATAACCCTCCTCCCCAAACCAGGCAGGGACTCATCAGAGAAAAAGAACTATAGACCCATTTCTCTGACAAACATCGATGAAAAACTTCTCAACAAAATTTTGGCCAATTGACTTCAACAATTCACCCAAAAAATCATATACTACAATCAAACAGGATGGATTTCAGGGATGCAAAGCTGGTTCAATATATGCAAATCAATTAATACAATTCATCACATCAGCAAGAGCAAGGATAAGACCCACATAGTTATCACAATAGATGCAGAAAAAGCATTTGACAAGATCCAACACCCCTTCATGATGAAGGTTTTGGAAAAATTAGGAATCCATGGAACATTTCTCAATACAATAAAGGCTGTATATGACAAACCTTCAGCCAGCATTATACTTAATGGTGAAAATCTAAAGCCATTTCCTCTTAACTCAGGAATGAGACAAGATGTCCACTCTCTCTACTTCTCTTCAATTTAGTATTAGAATGCCTAGCTACAGCAATAAGACAAGATGCAAACAAAGGGGATCCAAATAGGGAAAGGTGAAGTAAAACTGTCCCTCTTTGCAGATGACATTATCTTGTATTTAAAGAATCCCTTGGACTCCATTCCCAAACTACTCAAGCTGATTCAAAACTTTGGCAAAGTAGCAGGGTATAAATTAACCCTCAAAAATCAATGGCTTTTCTGTATGCAAACAATGAGAAGAGCGTGGCTGAAATCAGGAAAGCAACTCCCCTTATAATAGCCCCAGAAAAAAATAAAATAATTAGGAATTACTTAACCAAAAAAGTGAAGGACCTCTATGATGAAAACTTTAAAAACCTGAAAAAGGAAATTAAAGCAGAACTTAGGAAGTGGAAAAACCTCCCACGCTCCTAGATCTGAAGGATCAACATTGTGAAAATGGCAATACTTCCCAAGGCTATCTACAAATCCAATGCGATACCTATCAATATTCCAACCTCATTCTTCAAGAAAATAGAAGAAGCAATCCAAAAATTCCTATGGAACAATAAAAGACCCAGAATAGCAAAAACGATCCTTAACAGAAAGAATAGTGCTGGAGGAATATCAATACCAAATTTCAAACTCTACTACAAAGCCATAGTAATCAAAACAGCTTGGTCCTGGCACAAGAACAGACCTGAGGACCAATGGAATAGAATTGAAGACCCAGAAATGAACCCACAGACCGATAGCCACCTAATCTTTGTTTGATAAGGAAGCTAAAAAAAAAAAAGAATGGAAGAAAGACAGCCTCTTTAGTAAATGGTGCTGGCAAAATTGGTTTAATACCTGTAGAAAACTACAGTTAGATCCTTATATATCACCCTGCAACAGAATAAACTCCAAATGGATAAAAAAAGAATCCTCAAAGTCAAAGCAGACACCCTGAAAACATCACAGGAAGGAAAAGGAGAAACCCTAGGTCTCCTAGGCACAGGCTGAAATTTTCTCAATAAGAAACCCAGAATCACAACAAAGAAAGGTTGGACAAATGGGATTGAATGAAGAGCTTCTGCATGGCAAAGGACATAGCTAGCAAGATCAGTAGAAAGCCCATGGATTGGAAGAAAATCTTCACTAGTAATACAACAGATAAAGGTCTCATATCTAAGATATACTTGAAACTCAAAAAATTAAATCCCCCAACAACAAATCCTCAAAGAAACAACTGCCCGATAAACAAGTGGGCTAAAGACTTAAGAGAAACTTCTCTGAAAAGGAAAGAAAGATGGCCAATAGACACATGAAGAAATACTCAACCTCTCTAGCCATAAAAGAAATGCAAATCGGGGCTGGGAAGGTGGCTCAGTGGTAGAGTGCTTGCCTTGCATGCATGAGGCCCTGGGTTTGATTCCTCAGCACCACATAAGCAGAAAGAGCTAGAAGTGGTGCTATGGCTCAAGTGGTAGAGCGCTAGCCTTGAGCTGAAGGGCTGAGGGACAGTGCCCAGGCCCAGAGTTCAGGCACCAAGACTGGCAAAAAAAAAGAAAAAAGAAAAGAAAAAAAGGAAGAAATGCAAATCAAAACAACATTGAGATTCCACTTCACCCCAGTTAGAATGGCTATAAACAAGAAATCTAGTAACAACAAATGCTGGAGGGAATATGGACAAAAGGGAACCCTACTGCACTGTTGGTGGGAGTGTAAACTTGTTCAACCACTTTGGAAAGCAGTATGGAGGGTCCTCAAAAGACTCCACATAGAGCTCCACTATGACCCAGCAATCCCACTTTTGGGCATTTACCCAAATGATCACAAACAAGACCATACTAAAGCTACCAGCACAACTATGTTTATTGCAGCATTATTTACCATAGCTAAGATATGGAACCAACCCAGATACCCCTCAGTAGATGAATGGATCAAGAAAATGTGGTATATATACACAATGGAATTCTATGTCTCCATCAGAAAGAATGACATAGCCCCATTTGTTAGGAAATGGAAGGACTTGGAAAAAATTATATTAAGTAAGCCAGGCCCATAGAAACATAGGTCCCATGGTTTCCCTTATTTACAATTACAGTATATGTCTGAAACAAACAGAAAGGTCAGATAAGATGAAGTTAAGTGAAATGAACCCCAATATAGGGACACAAGTGGGTTTTTCTTTCTTGCTATTGTTCCTAATATATTTATAACGTACCATGTGATTTTTTTTTGTTTCTTTGTATGTTCCTCCCCCACGGTATAACCTGTTTTCTCTATATCTGATGTCAGTGCTCTGAATCTTGTATATGTACTTCTCTAGCTTGGGGAAGGGAAGGGAAAAAACAAAATGTTTAAATAGAGATACAGGTTGACCCATTGAAACAATGAGATGTACAAGACAGTATGTTGAAAAATGAACTTTACAATTTAGATGGGGAGGGGGGAATGTAGTTGTAGAGGTGAGAGGAAAGGAATGGTAGGGGAAAAACAATGGATGAGGTAACTATGTAATCATTACCTTGCTCATATAACTCCTCTGTACAGTATTTTTACAATAAAAATGTATTTAAAAAATAAAAACAGATTCATTCAAAAACGAAAAAAAATGAGATCACAGTAGACAGTATGGCCTTGGGAAAGGAAGAAAGAGTTGACTGCTATCCTAATGGGTAGAAGAGAACAGATTAAGGGCTTGGATTTGGATGTAGCAGAAGCAGAAAAAGGGAGACTACCTTGTAAAATTATGATCTCTGTGATATAATGTCAGAATGTTAATAGATGGAGAGAAAGAAGGAAGCTGACTTTATAATTTTAAGCCTTGGGAATGGTGGTGCTATGAATAGAAACAGAAAAGTTAGAAGGAAGAGCTAATTTCAGAAGGGATCTTAAAAGTATATTTAAGGTATTGCTGGGACATGAAAGTGAAAATGTTAAGCAAAAAGTTAGAAATAAGTCTGGAATTCAGATGTCAAATTAGAGATTTAGATGTGAAGGTTAACTTCATAGAGATCGGCTGCAGGATTAGGTGATATGCTAAAGGAAATCAAACAATAAAGGAAAAATGAAGATGGACATTTTTATATAAAATAAATAAACTTTCATAGCCAGAACTCTATTGTAAAAGTTGCAAGAAGGGCACAAGAACCAGGACAATGAAGTTGGAAAGCTGGTGAGAAATTACATGAGTTGTAAGAAGGAAAGCAAAACCTCAAATTTCACTGAGAGCTGTGACTAATGAGAACTGAGTTCAGGCAGTCAAGTTTTATTTAGAAGAAAGCTGTGAATAAGCTCTAAAAACAGACTTTCAGTAAAGCAAATTGGTGTACAAAAACTCTTTGCTGAGGATTCAATATCTGACCAAATATTGGCTAGAAAAGAACTAGGAGTTGGAGTCTAGTATCCAAGTTGCAAAACAAGAGGTGTACTCTTCTGTATGGTAAGAGGACAAAGATGAAGACAGACATAATATCTACTATATTTGTAAAGCCTCATGGTACTGTTTCCCAGAAGTATAAGCATGAACTTAGAATATGACTAATACATAAAGTGGTGTGATAAGAGGTCAAATGGGAAAGGCTATTAGCACAGGGAACCAAAAGAGGACAAGGTGGGAGCTACTACTTGTGGAAAACAAGACAGAAATGCCGATCTTTTTATTTTGACAAAAATAAAAAGCACCCCAAATTACAAAATTTATTATAGAATATTTTCAACCAAAATTGCATGATGAAAATCTTTGCCTCCCACAATGCCAGTCACAGGAATGAATTTGCAGTTGAGCTCTCTGGAATATATTGTTTATTTTTATTTTTGGTAATGGGGCTTGAACTCTGGGACCCGGGAGCTGTCCCTCAGCTCTTCAGCTCAAGATAAGTGCTCTACCACTTGAGCCACAGTGCCACTTCCTATGGAATATATTTGGAGGGAAGAAAACCTACCATTACCCTATTTTCTGCACTTTGCTAAATGGTAAGTGAAACTTTAAATTCATTTAGAAATAAAATAGTAAACGTATCATATGGACAAAGAAAGGCTTCATCAACTATATATTACCAGTTAAGAGTATATACATACTTCAAAATCACAAAGAAGGTCTTGGAAAGCAGTTGAGTTTGGTATAATGGAGGTCTCGTGTCCACTATCGACTGTTCCCACCAAGGAAAAAGTTAGATGGAGGATGTGGCTGTTCAGAAGAGAACGTTTCTTCTTAAGCAGCATTGCCAGCAACTAGGAGAAAGCAATACTAAATGTCCGTTGATGAATAATTACAAAAAATACACACACACATACATACACATAGAAAATCCTATGCAGAAAAATTCTTGAGACTTCTAAATTGATTTGTAAATTTTGTTTTCTTAACGACAAAGTTATCCTATCATCCTATTAAAATACTCATATGGGGCTGGGAAGGTGGCTCAGTGGTAAGAGTGCTTGCCTTGTATGCATGAAGCCCTGGGTTCGATTCCTCAGCACTACATAAGCAGAAAAAGCCAGAAGTGGCACTGTGGCTAAGTGGCAGAGTGCTAACCTTGAGCTGAATTGCTGAGGGACAGTGTCCAGGCCCAGAGTTCAGGCCCCACGACTGACAAAAAATAAATAAATAAATAAATAAAGTAAAATACTCATAGTTGTTATTATTCACTTCCATACTTTTTCTCTATACAGGGAAAATTTTTTGCATTATATTTTACATAATTATGATTTCAAGAGGCTGCATGGTATTCTACAAGATGGTTATAGTACAATTAGTCACTGTGATATAGTTGGTACATTTAGATTGTTCGTCTTTTTTCATGGGAAAAAAACTTCAATGGCCACTTTGAAAATGTTTAAAAACAAAGCCCTATTAAATCTATACAATCTTGCACCATGAACTGTATCTTCATTAAGGTACAGAAGGCATTTGTATTTTGTTTACAGAAAGAGGTTGGAGTTTGATTTAAGATGCCCCCAGGGGGGGCTTTGGCCAATTGCTACATCCCTAAGTCACTGAGCTAATCAAGGAATTAATCCTTGATCGATTCATAATACAATGGCATTATTGGGATGTGGGAGACTGGAAAGATACTTTTCGTCCATGGTTCCTTCCTCTCCTGCCCTTTTTCTTTCTGCTTCTTGGTAGTATGAGATAAACACTGTGTACACACAAATTCTAGCTGCACTGAGGTTCTGCATCTACTAGAACCTCATAGTAAGGGAGTAAGCACTGAAGCTTTGGTACCATGAGACTAATAAATCCTTCCTCCTCTTAAATTGTCTCTCTCAGGTGTCTGTCATAGTGATTTACAAAACAACTAACAGAGGGATTTCATATTGCTTGCTCCAAATTGCAAAAATAACATTCACATTAAATCTGGTATAGGCCTTATACATATAAATACTGCACATCTGTAATTTCACATGAATTTTCAGGAATAGAGATGGCACACTTATTCTGTAGGGTTCACATCTGAGGATGAAAGGGAAGTAAAGAAAGATACTACGGTGTGAAGTGGAAGGGAACACAGGATGGGAGAACCTGCTTAGATCACTGACCTGGCTGTCTTGTGAATATGGAGCTAATGTCACCCTACTTCTTTTCATTCCCCTAGCTACAAAGAAAAGCAACATCCAAATACTTAAATCATTAACTTGAACATACAGCTGGATATATTATCCATGGGATCTATATCCACAAATTCTAATGTACATCCAAAACATTTTGGTAAAAAATTATGGAAAGACTTTTTTGTTGTCATTTTCTCCAAACAACAGAGTATAACAACTGAATATAGCAGTTTAACAAGTGCACATAGCATTTACACTGTCCCAGTATCATAAATAACAATTTAAACCATACAGTGCAATGTGCTTAAGTGATACACAAAAATTATCCCTTTTCATTTGAGACTTGAGTATGCATAGATTTTGCTATCTAGAATGAATTCCCAATGGATAACAAGAGACAACTGTATATTCCAATATTTCAAAGCTGTACTGACGTGATATAGCCAAATTCAAGGATGTAGCAAAACCGGATGAGAAAGAAAAGGGATAAACTAAAATAAACTACTCATATTTTTCACCTGATGTTACTTTTCATAAAAAAACGACTTGTTTTGAAATGATCTGAAGAATATAATTTCTTCCAGAGTTTTGAGAAAACAGGAATAATCAAAAGTAGAATATCTAAGTTAAGTGAAGAAAAGCTTACAAACCTGATAAGGTTACAAACCTGATAACCCTTGATTCTCTCCATTTCTTTGCTGGCTAGTGGGTTACTCTTGACCACACAAACCAGGGCCTTGACTGCTGCATATAACCCTTCCACATCAGAGGCCATGGCTACGAGGCCCAGGATGGCCGCAGCTCCACCAATGTACTGCAAAGTAGTGGCAACAGGCTTGGGGACAAATGTTCTCACTCCTAATTAAAAGATAGTAAAAAATAATTAAGATAAATTCCCCATGGGAATAAGAAATGAGTAACTCAATACCCTATTTGTAATCATAAATTTTATTTTATAAAAATCTTATGTACTGAAATAAGAATTCTAAACAAAAGTTAAAGGTAGAGTTTAAGAGAAAAATATGCATATGCATATTCCTAGAGAGGAGGCAGGAGAAAAAGACAATAGTGATCTGGGTTTATAGAAAGACTCATGTTTTGAAACACTCGCTGCCAGCAACAGAAGACTCAGTATAGAGCTCTTTGGAAGTAACTAAGGTAAGTGAGAGTGGCTTCACTAGGAAACTGATTCACTTGCCTACTGATAGAGACTGTTTTAAAACTATAAATCTAGTTGGGGGAAGACTGTCCTCCCAGCTGTCTGTGAAGCAGAGATGGGAGGATTACTTGAGACTAGATTTTTAAGACCAGCTTTGAGTAACATAGGGAGACCTTGCCTCAAAAAAAAAAAAGAAAGAAAAAAGGAAAAAGAAAAGCACTTAGATACACATAATATGTGTATATAAATATCCATTTTATATTTCTATGTAATTTGTAGCATTTGTAGTATTTTTTTTATCTATTGTAGCACTGGATTTTCACATGTATCTTTCTAGATAATTATAGGTAAAAAAAACTAACAAATAAAACCCTGAAGTTGACAGAGCTTAAATGAATGGCCAATGTCACAGTAGCAGAGGAGGTAGTAGAACTTAGATCTACAAGCTCTCACTCCCTGTTTTCCACTACTTTACTGCTGTTATGATTTAGCAAAGAATATAAAACAGAAAATATCTGCTGAATTGAATAAAGAAAAACATTATGTGCTTTAACATCAAGAAAACTGTTTAACAATGCAATGTTATCAGGTACAAAGTCAAAGTTAAAAACCTGAATGTCATTGAGATAAAAAGCATCTTTGCTGGTAAAAAAAATGGGCCAGCAAAACAGTAATGTTTTATTAATCTAAAAAGGAACCAATAGAATATACTTATTTTTATGTGAGATAAAATAATTACTGATTTTGAATTTTGGTAGTAACATTGTATTACACCTCAGTATCCTACTTAATTAAAAAAAATACCGCTTTATTGGTGTATGCATACCATTCTGGGACTTGAACTCAGGGCCTGGGTGCTTTCCCTGATATTTTTTTGCTCAAGGCTAGGGTTCTACCACTTGAGCCAGAGCTCCACTTGGAACTGTTTTATAGTAGTTTACTGAAGATAAGAGTGTCACTGGTTTTCCTTCCTGGGCTGGCTTCAAACTGCAAGTTTAGCCTCCTGAGTAGCTAAGATTGCAGGCAAGAGCTACTGGTACCCAGCTCAATTCTTTTTAATAAGAGAGTATGTATAAGGCTCTGCAGGATGGCTACTATCTGTAACCTTTTATTATAGCTAGATTTAGTGTTTAGGTACAGAATTTCTATTTTTACCTCACTTCTACATTAAAAGAACACTTCTGCAAAACCACTGCTAAATCAAACCATGAAATAAGCAACAATATTTTTTTCTATTTTAATATCTCTTTTAATGTGGCCATTTGAAATTTACTGATGAATAACCTAGAAGTATGTGGTCAATGCTCACCATTGTTAACAAGAGTTAAATATTAATGAGAAGACTACAAATTTTAAAGTTGACTAGAACCTGAGATATGTCAAATTCAAACATGAACTTAAGTACTAACTCCTTAAGTGAGGAAAGTAAATGTAAATGTGAAGGTAAACACAGAAGTTTGAAATAATAGACCCGACTCACCCAAGTATCCAATCAGTGTAGCCCCAATGCTCCTTGCAGGTCCATTAAGATGGCCTGCTGCATTGTGGATCAACTTCACAGGAGTGGCATTCTCGTGGGAAGAAATGCCTAACTGAAAATAGAAAAGAAAAGCAATGTAATTACAGAAGCACAGCCTGAGTGTGCTCATTAGATACTCACCGGACAGTATGCTAAAAATGAACTATACAACCTGTGGGTGGGATAGGAGGGGAAAACTAGGAGAGAGTGAGGGAAGGGGTCACATTGTCCAAAAGGAAACGTACTCTTTATCTGACTTATGTAACTCTATTCCTATTGCAATACTTAAAATAGTAACATTCATTTTATTAAAGAGCTCATACTTCTAGAGTAGGAAATTCACAGAAATAACTTAAATACAATACAATCAACTGAGGGAGAGATGACAGAGAATCTTGAGCCCAAGGGGGTCTTTTTGAATGGAATCTGTCATAGATTGAAGGCTTTCCTTTTTAAGTGCCTCATAATACTCCTGGTTAGTGGCAATCCTGTTAGCTACAAATCTATCCAAATTATCTGTTTCTAGATAAACATGCCTATATAAAGGAAACATCAAGCACACACAAAAGAATCTTTGTACCAGAATGTAAGAAACATAAAGGTGGGAACAAATGGTATCTAGTACATTGTAGGTAATCCGTAACAAAGTAGCTTCAAGACAGGCTTAGTGATGGAAATAATTAACAACAGCAATTGTGTTCTTTACTGATAGAAAGAGCACCCAGGCCTGAGTTCAAGCCCCACAACCAATGAAAACAAAACAAGAACAAAACCTAAAAGATGATTATTGTAAGAATCTTTTAAAAAAGAAAATTCAACAGAAAAATATATTAAAAAAATAATTGCAAAAAGTTCCTTAAGTTTAGTGAAAGATGTAAAATTTCAAGGAGAGGTTTATGGAATTCTAGTATTATAAAAATGTTCGAAGGGGCTGAGCTTATCATAATCAGATTCTGAAGATCAAAGATGCAAAGAAAAATTTGATAGCAGCCACAGAACACTTAAGATAAAACACTAACGAACAACATAAAAAATTGTAAGATAATACAATAAGGAAACAGAAATACATAAATAAAGTAATGAAAAGGAACATTTGGTTGCAGACTACACCAAGAAACTGATCACTCAAGGATGAAGATGGCCTTCTGTGGTTGCTGTCTCAAACTGTATTAAATCAACATTCATTATACAATAGACCAAAGATTCCTAATACAACATAGATCTCATTGGTTTGGGCAGGGTTAGACTCCACTGAGAGGAGAGTCTATTTTCTTGCCTTTTTCAGTTTCTCAGCAACTTGCTTTCTTTGGCTTATGGCCTCTGGCTTCATCTTCAAAGCCAGCCACAGCATCCTCTCAACACAGGGAATAACTCTGACCTATTCTTTTACATTAGTCTTCAACTGTTAAGCATGCATATGCTCATCTGAATGGTTGATGTAATTTTCCTATTTCAACTTCACATGGTTAGGGACTTTAATTGAACATGCAACCTAAATTCTCCGTTGTACATAAAGTAACATTTTCAGGCTACAGGAATTAGAACACAAGATACATTTAAGGATTCAGTATGTTGAATATATTGATTGAAATTCTCAATCAATAAATTTTTAAGTAAAAATTAACAATCCACAAAAGGCACTATTTTCAGCAACTACTCAGACTTTTGTGGTAACCCATGAGACCCTGAAATCCCAAGAGAATTAAGTATAGCTTATAGGGAAATCATTCTGCTTACCTGTTTGGCAATGGCTTTGCTATCCAACTTGTTATACACTTTCCGGATTCTCGCCACTGTTAGGGAGGATACAGAGAGTGCATAGAGGCCAAATGATACCTTTTCCTCCGGAACCAATGACACAGGAGATGGGATAATACCTTCAGATTTTGCATCTTTACCTTCAAAAGAGAATCATTTTTCTCAAAATTGTAATTCTTCCCATTTTAATACAATTTTTATTATATAATAAATTTTTTATTATATAATACAATTATGACTATTAGTTTGGTGGTATGGGGATTGAATTCAAGGCTTCATGTTTCCTAGGCAGGTATTCTACCACTTGAGCCACACCTGAGGCCCACCTGCTTCCCTTATTTTTGCTTTGGTTATTTTTCAGATAGCGTTCTTGTTTTTGCTGAAAAGGTCTGGACTACAATCTTCCTACCTACAGCTTTGCACATACTCATAAACAAATGACATAGTCTACTCTTCAAGGCTTAAATGTTGACATGGCTTTTGCTTTTTGTTGTTGTTATCGGTCATGGGACTTGAATTTGGGGCCTGAGCTCTTTTTTGCTCAAGGCTAGCACACTACCACCTTGATCCACAGTTCTACTTCCAGTTTTCTAGTGGTTAACTGGAGATAAGAGTATTAGAGACTTTCCTGCCTGGGCTGGCTATGAACCACAATCCTCAGATCTCAGCCTCCTGAGTAGCTAGGATTACAAGCATGAGCCACCAGCACCTGGCTCTTTGCTAACCTTTTGCCTGGGTTGATAAATCACAATCCTTCCAAGCACCTGAGATTACAGGAGTGAGCTACAGGCTCTGCTTCTTTGCAACATCTTTACTTGGATGAACCTGAACTTTTTTTTAAGGTACAATATGGGAACTCAATTTAAAAACTATACTGAATTTTCAGGTCTATTTCTTTAATTAGGATACAGGAATATAGATTATAGGACATAAATCTAGTCATAGATAATTACGTTCTATGTTTTACTCTTAGAATACTTATAGAAAAAGGGTTTTTTTGCTATCTAATAATCACAAAACACTGTCACATTCCATGTTTACTCTTAAAAGAAGAAAAAAGCATTTTATCTGATATCTAACAATCAATAAATGCAAAGGAGAAAGGAAATGAAAATGTGCAGAAGCCCACAAGCCTGGCAGTGCTGGGTCCTCTTCCCAAATATGGAGGCAAGAGCCTTCATTTATGCCTCTCCATACTCTCTGTACAACATAGCACAGTAGTAAACAGCTTTAGAACAAGATTGCCAAACCTGAATCCTGTTATCATTTAACATACATCTCTGTGCCTTAGTTTTCTCATCTATGAAATGGGATGATAATGACAATCCAACACACAATGTTTACAGATAAACAAACATACCTGAAGGGCTCAGAGGAAATACATGTTTCATGCATATTAACTTATTTAGAATGTAGCAGTCAAGAACAATGAATTAAGTGGCATATTAATAATCTGTTTACTGATGTTCACAATATACTTGTGCAAAGGGATCTCCCAAGAATAAAGATATGATTTTGAGGGGTACTATAAAGGAATCAAGGCTAAGTTATCAGTTCCCTTGATTTTATATTTCTTCTGGGAGAAAAGATTCTTAAAAATAAACTACAGGAATAAAAGGATGAGGAATAATGATGTTGGTAGGTCTAATCTTGAGACTATAAGTGTGGTTCCTGGACCCATTCATTCTTCTTTAACAAGAATATCTATACTTTATATAGCTTTGTATAATGGTATGAACTACAGAAAGAGTACAGGGTTGAGAGTATATCTACCTACATCTTCATCCACTAAGATAACATTGATAATTAGTGATCAGTTAAGAATCAGAAAAGTACAGTATTATCAGGGGAAGAGAATATTTCTCTCTCTCTGCTGAGATTAAACTTAGCTCTTCACACATTAGTTAAGTGTTGTACACTAAGCTCTACCCTTGAGCCAAGGGGAACATTTTAAATGTTGGAATGTGGTTAATAATAATATCATGAAGAGTAGTATTAGAGAAAACCCTACACACACATATACAAGCACATACACCCTATGTTACAAAAGTAACTTAGAGAACTAAAAGTAAGTTACTTACATGGCATGCATACAGCCTGAAAGCTTCCAACATAATTTGGTCCAAGTTCATAAATGGAAGTAACACTTGAAGGAGGTAAAACTTCTTCTAGAAAATGGGTGGGTCCCAGTCGCCAAACCAATGAAGCAATCTGGCGTTGAGCAGGTGGAGTACCAATGTAGGCATAGACTGTGCTCACCACTGGGGGGTTCACAGAGCCTGACCCCCCTGGAGTACTATGAACATAATGAAGCTAGAGAGAAGACACACAAGGCGTGAGTTATGGAAAACTAGCAGGAAACTGCTTCAACATGTACATTTTCATTATTCCAAGTCCACATAACTTTACAAATGTAAAAAACCAGGCTGAGAAACTGAAGGTTAAGATTCAAAGATCAGTAACTGGACACTGAATATGGTAAAGATTATACAATTCTTTGTAAATGACTACTAGAAATTGCCAAAATTAAATAAAGAAAAAATGTCACTGCTTGGTTGTTTCCATAACAATAACGCTCCTCTGAAATTTTAGAGTTGTTATAAAACAAGAGACCTCTGCACAATGGAACTCACTCAGGTAGTCCTGAGGTGAGTTCAATAAGATTATTTATGAAAGTGTCTCCTAGGGGCAAAGTACAATAAAAATGTCAAAGAATCTAGAAAAATGGACTTGATTAATATGCTTATACTTTAATATTAACCACTGCTAACAGATTCTCAGGCTTGGAATCGTATTTCTGTTTATTGACAAGGTAACTAACTTAATTAATATGATGTTAATAAATAAGTAAATAAATAGGGTAGAAGGAAATAGTTACATCCATCAATTAATGGAATCGGGACATTTCCACTGATTGTTTTGTCATTTTAGCTTCCTATTCCATCTATTAACACATATATAAACACATATATATATTAAAGAATAGTCTATAATGATGTTAGTAATATGATCATGAAAATCAAGATATGTATACTATTCCATGACTGCTCACAAGATAGTGATGATAATGTAAACATTTAAAAAATCAATTCTTCCATAATTGAGATTCCTTCTTTCCTAACAAGAAGAAGTAATCTGATAGAGAATCAGTAAATTTATTCCAAAAAAATCATGTATCCAAAGAAATCAGTGACTAATTTCAGTAGGTATGTTTCATGGTACACCATACTGAAATAATGTTATAATAAAACATTATCAAAAAGGAAATGTAGGGGCTGGGAAGGTGGCTCAGTTGTAGAGCTCTTGCCTTGCATGCATGAGGCCCTGGGTTCAATTCCTCAGCACTAACATAAGCAAAAAGAAAAAAGCTGGAAGTGGCGCTGTGTCTCAAGTGGTAGAGCGCTACCCTTGAGCTGAAGAGCTGAGGGACAGTGCCCAGGCCTAGAGTTCAGGCCCCACGACTGGACACTCCCCCCCAAAAGGAAATGTACTCAAAGAAGTTGCTATTTTCACACAACAGGACAAATTTTACTGTAATTATTCTTTGAAGCAATATCACTGTATGCTAGATGCTATTTTTCAGAAGTTAAAAGAATTTTAAGAGCTTGCTCGCAGAGTTTTGTCCTAAGTATAGATTAAAAGTATCCCTATCCAAAATGCTTGCAATCTAAGTGTTTCAGATTTCAGAAAATTTCAATTTTAGAGTATCTGCAAACCCTTTACTGATTAAACATTTCTAATCTGAGAATCTGAAATTTAAAATGCTAATTTTTTGACCATTATATTGGTACTCAAATTGGATTAAGTTTTGAGCATTTGGAGTTTTGATTAACTTATGGTAACAGTTTCTGATTCAGAATTTTACTTAATTCTTGGTTTCTTTAACTCTTCTGAATACTATAGTATGGAACTGTAACATTTGTTACAATGACAAGACTGTATATTCATAGTTTTCTTCAGTCTTTTAGCTCAAGTGTTTATTGTATATTGTGAAAAATAACATAGTTCAAATCTTGACACAGTAACTTCTTTAGGACCGCAGAACCCCTCCTTTCTATTCTAGTTTAATAAGGTAAACTGAACAGGCCAATCATATGACTCTAAAAAGTTGTTTAAATGAGTACTAAAGGTCAGCCTACAATTAAGGTTCTAACTTTAAAATTATTCCTACAAAATATACACATGCACGCACACACCTTCTAAAGCTTCCTTGCATACTAGGTATATTCACAAGTGCCAATGCTTACCTTTACTGTGCTAACCAGCTGTCCATCAAGGTAGAGGGCTGCAGTGCTGTTTTTCAGCATGCCTTTGCTCATCACCAGAACCAGATGATGCCACTGCCCCTCGACTATAAGCTCTCCACATCGAAAGCGAGCACAGCATGGGAGAATCTCATAAAAAGAAGATTCTTCACTAAAATCATCAACTAAAGGGGAATGATGAAAAAAATGTTTATCAATTATCATCTCTATTCTGACAATTAGTTACATTTAGATTAGCTGCTTTTAACATTATGTTAAAAAGAAAATGATACAAATGAACTACCCTATTTATTCAATAACCACATATGTAGCCACAAGTAATACGTAGGGTATGTTTGTTTGCATCTGCTCAGGGGTATCCTTATAACCAAACAGATATACTAGGTAATGAGTAAAAGATAAGACAGACAATGAAGTTATCATAAAAAATTAAAAATACAGGTCGATACCCAAACTAAACAAGTAGAACTATGTTAAGCTGAAATTCTGCAAGTCAAAGGAAATAATTAGCACAAAAAAGGCAACTTATGAAATGAAATTAAAAAAGTATGTGCAAACCATACACAGACAACTCAAACAGTGAAGAGGGCTAGGGGCATGGCTCAAGTGGAAGAGAGCCTTCCTTACAAATGCAAAGCATTGAGTTCAACCCCCAATACTAAGAAAAACAAAAACCAAACAAAAAACAAATAAATTTGAATAGACAGATACTTTAAAAGATGCTGAACACCACCAATCAAGAAAATGAGACCAAACTTGAAGGAAATACGAACTCATACTTGTCAAGGCAATTGTTATGAAATAGAAAGCAAAGGACTGAGTATGACTCTAGTAGTAAATAAAGCTCCTGCCTAGCAAGCATGAGACCTTGGATTCAAATTCCAGTATCACAAAACAATAACAACAAAAATCATAATCTCTGTTCCCTGTTGGTGGAAATGCAAGATACTACAACCACTATAGAAACCAATGTAGAAGGGCTAGTACATGCCTATGATCCAAGCACTTGGGAGGCCAAGGTAGATGCATTTCCACTTAGAGGCCAGCCTGTGCCAAACAGCAAGACCCTGTTTCAAAAAACCAAAACAAAAAAAATCACAACAAACAAACATTCTGGAGATTCCTCAACAAACTGAAAATAGAACTGCCATGTGAAGCAGTAATTCCAAAGCTGGACAGTTTTCCCACAAAGCTGTCATTATGATCCCAAATATTACATTGCTCCTCTGACCAGTAGATGAAGAGAAAAAGAATATGTGGCATAGACATATTATAGCATACCATTCAGTATTTTTAAAAGGCATAAGCTACAATATGTGACCACAAGGGCGAATCTTTAGGGCCTTATGCTAGGTGAAAGAAATCATTTATACAGAAGTACAGACTCATGATTCCACTTATATAAACTTCCCAAAGTAGTCAAACTGTGGGAATGGAATGTTAGCTGCCAAGGACTAGGGGAAAGAAGAAATGCAGAAATACAAATCAAATCAATAAACATAAAAATCTCAGTCAAGCAAGATGAAAAGCTCTGTACTATACAATACTGTACTTATACAAAGTTAACAGTATTGTAAGAAAACACAAAGTGAAACCTCAATGAGATCTTATCTGATGTATACACCTGAAGTATAAAAAGAGCAGGCATTTGCTGCTCATTTTTTAGCTGTACTGCCCAGAACCCTTACTGACACCAGCTGGCAGAGAAGATGTGGTGCAAGTCATAGCTAATCCAACTTTCTGCTTCCACAGATAACTTGTCTCATATACATGAAGATATTCTCATCTGCTAACTTACAAAATCACTTTCTAACTAGTCTAGCTTCTCACTACCGTCTGGTATGTCGCTAGACATATGTTGACAAGAAATAATGGGTTTATACTATTAATATTAATTTTAAGCTAATAAAAGTAACTTGCTATATTTTTTAGTGGTTCTGGGAATCAAACCCACATGCTACATAAATGAACCACATCCCCATTCCTTCTATCTGAGTATTCACAGGGGCAAGGCAGCAGTGAGAAAGTTAATATTAAAAACTCACTAAGACAAACAAGAGCTAATGAACAAAGCAGACCAACCATTTCTCCAACCATTTCTTCAATACAAAGGAATACAATATACTTGAAAACAGATATAAATTACATGGAGAAGGAACAAGTAAACTACTGATTTCTACTTATAGAATATTAATGTATTTGTCTATGCTGAAATGCCAAGGTTATATATCTTAAAATGAAAATTCAGAATATATTTCTGTTGATAAGTTAAGATTATTATATGGGTAGAATCTTATCAATAATGTTAAAATGGGAAGAGGACTGAATAACCAGATAGAAAATTAGGGCCAAAGAATCCTGAAAGCTCTTGAGTTATGGACCATGAGATGTGGGTAAGAAGGTAAACAATTGGGCTAAAGGGATAGTACAGTTATTGAGACACAAATTGATGATTGTTTTTCCCCATGAAGAACAGATTCAATCTAAAATCCAAAGGTGAATCTTGAGTGAATATTATTTTTAAGGGAAAGATGCAAGAGAAAGCTAATAAGGGAGACTACAAAAGAGAAGTTAGAGGGGCTGGGAAGGTGGCTCAGTGGTAGAGCGCTTGCCTTGCATGCATGAGGCCCTGGGTTCGATTCCTCAGCACCACATAAGCAAAAAGAA